TTCTGAATTGATTTTAAATCAGTTTTATAATTCCTTTGGGTGGAAAAAGTCCATTATTCTGTTCTTCTGTAAAGATGCCACGCATAAATATAGTTAAATTGCATTCGATAGTGGTCAAAATGTATATTTTCGTTGAAATATGATATGTGGAAATTTTTGTGATTACAATACTTCCTTTACTCTTCAAGAAAGTAAACAAAAAACAAAAACAAAACAAAACAAAAAAAAAATGTTCTAATTTTATAACGCAATCTTTTTCACATAATAGAATAATGCATTTTTAACCTACCAGATATATCGGAACCAGTCGAAAGAGTAGAAAATTATAAAGAATCTTTCGATGCTATCAGAAATGGCAAAGCATTTTAAAACTAATTTACACTAATGAATACTAATAAATTCTTAATAATGAGGTATGTTCACTGTAGTTACTAATTTTGCTTGAAATTATTTAATGTGAAGAGTGACTTTGTTTTACCTTTTCAATCCTAGGAGCTTTTCTTGACAGGTTTCATTTTCGTTTTTGAGTATTTTCTCAAAATCGTCCCGGTTTGAGCCAAAAAATATTACGATAAGATTATACATATCAAATTTTAAACATCACGATGAAGCAGTTTATCTCCTTTACTGGGATATGAAGCATAATCCGCAAGTTTTCCTTCCACGACACTTGTCTTCCGACTTTGATACAAATTCGAACTCCAGCTGGATAAGGACCAACAATGGGCCCATCAGCTCAGTAAAACTCATAATTAAATAAATCACTTTACACAAAACTCAAAAACGGACTGTATACTAAAATTTATTAATTGCACAAAAACCCGCATAGTTAGTTCACATCTCTCGGCGGCGTCTCAGAACACACTCCAAATTCAATACAAGTGGCCGCAAGGTGGTGCTATAAACAAACATCAGCGTCATCTTTTAGAACACAAATACACTCATGTCCATAAATTAAGGATAATTTGGAGTCACGCGGAAATCGGACTCTAAAATAAATATATCACCTGTAAAATCACTACACACATCTTCAAGAATCATATGCAAATTTCAGGAAGTAACCAGATGACACCGATGGTACGTCACAACGACGAGAGTGTAAGAGGGTGATATATAAGGAATACAGGCAAAGAAGTAAAATTGTTCGCAGGCGCTTTATAAGCATTTCAGTGCAATAACCGAATAGTTATGACACAAAGGACGCATTTGGATGATTTTTTACGTGGTAGAATTATCGGCCGTCTGGAATGTGAGCGTACCCAACTGGAAGTATCAGTCGAACATGGAATTGCCCAGAGTGTCATCTCCAGGCTTTGGCAACGATTCCAAGATGATGGTAATGTGAGTAGACGTTACAGCACAGATCGCCCCAGAGTTACAACACCGAATGAGGACCGGTATTTGGCAGTTACTGCCAAAAGAAACAGGCGGAGCACAGCCTCAGACCTGTCTCGTCAGCTCTCTTCATTGGTACGACAATTTCAAGGCACACCGTGTACAGACGCTTAGGGCAGATTGGTCTATATGTTCGTAGACCAGTCAGATGCGTTCCACTTACTGCAACTCACTGTTGCCTGCGGTTAGCCTGGAGTAGAGAGCATGCATTGTGGACACCGCAACAGTGGGCTTGTGTGATGTTTTCCGACGAGTCCAGGTTTAGCTTGCAGTCTGATTCTATTTTATAATTGTATACCTCAGGTGGTCATTATTATTGTTTCATTATTGTAAGCTTTCACATCCACTGCGTACAATACTGTACAAAGATCTGTGTACGATTAGTGATGACATTTATAAAGCCATATATTAAGGAAATCTTTTGACGATTATTACTTGTCGGTTTCGTGCAGATAATATTAAATGCAATAAGAAAAAATCTGATGAATTCCTTCTACGGAATATTAAATAACGCGTGCATGTTCCTGCATTTCATTTAAACTTATTGAACTGAATTAAATCTACATCCTCGAAAGCTCATAAATTACAATAAAATAAATGCAGTCTTTAAAATTTAATATATTTATTTACCACAGCGACACTCTAGCGTTAGATTCACTTAATAACGTTACATCTCATTCCTTTTATAACTCAGAATACACAAAAACTTATGTCATCTGAAGAATTATCTAATCATTGCTACATGTTCTATTCAAATACCATAATAAATCTAAAATGATGTATAAAAGAAATTAAAAAAAATAAAAAAGAAACAGTTTTTCACAGACGAATTTCACAGGCGCTGCTTATCTAATACGCATGCGCCACTCGTAAATATTCTTCCATGTCCAAGACAAATTGGCGACAATAGCTGCTAATAAAGCGAAACACATATCTCCCGCGAATTTCATCAGAGATATATTTCTCATTTAATTAATTCCGTTCTCACTTCGCGGCAAGGCAAAAGTACATAAACACTCAAAATATTTTCATTAAAAATTGAAAGATACAGAAAAACATAAAACACCAAATAGAGTTAAAACAATTTTAAAAAAGTTGCAATTAAAATTACAGTTTCTGCGCAAAAAAGGCAATTCGGACAGCAGGCAAAAAAGGCAGATTTCCCGGTGCACAAAACTAAAAGTTTCCTTTTGGTCCCACTCGACAAAAGGACACTGAAGACTTAACTCCACTTAAACTACTTTTAAAATGTTGATAATTCTACAACAATCGCATGAAGATTTAACTACAGGCATAAAAAAATTACCCAGAAGATAAGAGCAATATTATTCAATTATTTTTAAAGCAAAAAATGTGCAGTTCACGCCAGGGGCGCCATCTGTGAAAAATAGGTAAAATTTGTGTTCTAAAACGATGACGCTGATGTTTGTTTATAGCACCACCTTGCGGCCACTTGTATTGAGTTTGAGTGTGTTCTGAGACGCCGCCGAGAGATGTGAACTAACTACGCGGGTTTTTGTGTAAATAATAAATTTTAGTATACAGTCCATTTTTGAGTTTTTTGTAAAGTGATTTATTTAATTATGAGTTTTACTGAGCTATTGATGGACCCATTGTTGGTCCTTATCCAGCCGGAGTTCGAATGTGTGTCAAAGTCGGAAAACAAGTGTCATGGAAGGAAAACTTGCGGATTACTCTTAAATAGAAGGTGCGTGGCTTTAATTGTAATAACTGTGTAATTCAAAACGTAGATTCAAAATGTTTAAAAGTGCAAAAAAGAAGATTATCAGCGTATTGCTGCAGAGCTGAATTTAGACATTTCAGAAACGAAAACTACTTCAGATTTAACTGATATAATTAAAAACATTGAAAGCTATAAGAAGGATCCCGTATTAGTTGAAGGTATAGCTAATAATATTATCGACGAAAGAAAAAGTGACGAGAGCCAATTGCTCGAACTTGAGAAATTGTAAACGGAACAAGGGAAATCGCAACTAGAGCTCGAGAAGTTGCGAGCAGAATCAAAGAGTGAAAACCTCATAGAATATGAGAAAAGAGAAAATGTAGAATCTCTTGACTCTCTCATTAAAATTATACATGCACATTAACAACTAAAATTCCAATTAGACCGGAAGGTTGGGGTTATTTCTTTTCATCTTTAGAAAGGCGTTCATTTCTAAAGGTGTTCCAGAGCTAAATTTGTTGGGAGAAAAGCCGCAAATGTTATTACGTACATTAAAGACGACGAATTAAGGAGATTATTCGAAAGTTAATGAATGAAATAGTGCTAAGAGAATTCGAACCATCCCCCTAAATTTGTTTAGAAAGGTTTACGAAGACACAACGAATGACGAATGAAACTTATGTGCAGTTCGCGTCTAGATTAACTACAAGTTGGGATTATTATTTGAAACTGAGAAAGGTAAAAGACTTTGAAACATTCAAACATGTAATGGTTTCTGATAAAATATGTCAAACACTTGATAAAGAGGTTATGTTTTTATAAAGGTAAGCCAAGGAAATTCTTGGTTTAAATCTGTAGAATTCGCGAAGGAGATATATTTATATTATACATCAAAGAGAAAATCTGTAGTGGATAATTCTAGGTTAAGTAATAAAAACAGTTATCCTAAAAATATGTCAAGGGTTTTTTTAACTGATGTAAAATATTCGAAATGTATTTTATCATGCAATGAAATTCAGCCTTTATACAAACGCCCTGTTTATAAAAACATGACAGTTAGCGATAGAGCTAGTGAAATCGGAACAGCTATGTTTCAACTGTTTAGGAAATCATAAGGTGATTAATTGCAGCAATAAATTCTCTTGCTGTATTTGTAAAAAGAAACATTACATGACTCTTCATTTCCTTCGCGAACAAAAAATAAACATAGTTGCGTAGGTGGTGAGTCATGAAAATAGAAATATTCCTTCGAATTCGGACGCTTCGGCTCCAATTAGACCTCTGCAAACTAAAGCACCTCTGCAAGCTAAAGCGAGTACTGATCAAAATTTATTATGAACAATTAAATTGTTTTATCCTCGTGCAGTGTAGCGCGTGACGAATATTAAAGGAAAGCTAAGCCGGAAAATTAAAAATACAAGAGCACGTGCATTTAACATTTAATTAATAAATATCTCTTTTAGCTTTCGAAAAAATTCCAGAAATTTCTCACGCGCGATTTAAAATCTTGGAGAAAAACCTCTCAATTCAGTTAGTTGTTAGTTTGGCTGTTGTTTAGAAAACGACTCTTGTTGATTGTAGCGAATTCGCGGATTAGCTTTCTTTAGCTGTTTTGAAATAAGTTCTTTTGAACGTTTGAGTAGTTAAAAGATAACTACTGTGAGATTTTGTAATACTGGACGAATATCTGAGAAATTTTAAGCATTGTTTGTTGTGATAATAATAAATTTTGTTCCTTTTCATCGGACTTGTGCATTCATTTCGTAACGAACCCGTACGCACGCAACAATATTTTTCAAGAGTAAAATGGTATTACTTAACCTTACTTTTTTTTTTTTTTTTTTTTTTTTTTTGTTTTATATTTTTATAAATTCTATTTCAAAATATACCAAATTTGCTCATCATTCCTTTTCTGTTTCAGCTGAGCATTCGTATGTTGGTCAACTTGCAATTCTGAAGAGAAATTATAGAGTATACTCAGTATCCGAAAGGTCTAAAAGATCCACTGATGATATCAATGATTCAAAACTGCGATCAGATATTGATGAATCGGTAAATATAAGTTCATTTTTATTTTAATGACATTTAGAATCTAATTTAGCATTTGAATTATCAGTTATTAAAAAAAACGTTTAAACCTTTTAATAGAATTATCTCTTCAAAAAAAAAAATTGGGTGGAAGATAAGTAAGATAGAGGTACTACTTTGGTAGACGGTTGCACGGATTTTTGGCGATTTACGTTGGCGCAATTGTTGGCGCTATTTTTACAATCGTCAGCCATCTTGAAAAACGCTGTTCTTACGCATAGTAAAGTATTCGAAACTTAAAAAAATAATAAATACCGTTAAAAGTAATGGATTAATTTAATGTTGAAAATGTCGTTTTTTAAGATGGCAGGCAAGTGTAAATAAATACATTTACTATGAGCATAAAATACTAAAGTAAGGTTATTATTACTTTTATATAGCAAAAAAGAGAATAAAACCACCGCTATAAAACATTGTGCCAACGTTAATTAGATTAAAATATTACTGAAATTGAATATCGAATTAAAAACCATCATAACAATATTTAATTAGAATATTATTAAATTCAAATACTTTAAAATACGTTATATAGAATATAATTAACATTAAAACATATGTGGCAATAATTATCTCAGCAATTTTTGAAAATAGTGTATTAATTTTTTTAACAAAAATTGAGGTATACAATTATAAAATAGAAGAAAAATATGTACTTACATTTTTTGAGTCATTAAACCTGTTGTTTATTGATAAGTACCACAAAAAAATCGGATTCAGAATTGAATCGGCTCTTTTAACCATCTTCATCTGTGATCCACATTTCTCGCACTTCACTGAAGAAGCGGGCCCACCAGAGGCCGAGCGGTAAAGTCGCTGAACACTGGTAGTTCGGTCCGAGGTTCGAATCCCGCGAACGGGCTGGCTGTATGGGCGTTTTCGTGGTTTCCCCCATGTGTAACGTGTATACGAGCCAGTTTTCCTTATAAAGTCCTCCACGAAGGCATCCCTCCTCTTAGGCAGATAGCCCTCGAGGCTTTGCCATAATCACATACACACACACACACACACATTTAAGAAGCAATTAGCGAGGTTTTCTCCAAAAAATTAAAATAAATTTCCTCTGACGATATTACCAATTTATAAATAAATCTTTGATTAGGAAAGACAGGTTGGCCAAAATAAGGTCTCAAAGGGCAGCTTTTTATTCCAATACCAATAATTATTGGTAATTACCAATAACAACATTCATCTTCGAAACGGACATATCCATTCCATTTGAAATCTGAGGAATTCGAAGAGTGTAATAGTAAAATTTTAAAATGGCGCGGTAATGCTGAAATATTCAGTAACCAATCAGGGAGCTGATTACATCACGCATAGAATTAAAATTATTTAAATAATCATTCATAATAAAATCATTTTTAAAACAAATGCAAAATTAAATTGTATTTTAATATTTAACAGCCATAAATAATGTTTAAAACATTAGATTATATTTATAGATACTAATAAAACCAATTACTTTTTAAGTAAGGTGACGTCATTGATTACATCATCTACAACATAAAGTTATATAAAATATTATAAACAACAAAAATTTTCTTTCAAATGCAAATGAAAAATTAAATTGATTTTTAATATTTAGAAGCCATACATAATATTTAAAGCACGGAATTTATGCATAATAAAACCCATTATTTTTTAATAAAATGACAACAAAGTATCGGTTACCATAAGTAACTTATCCAGCAATGGGTTTACCACAAGTTGTATTACTGGCCAAAAGAAAAATCGCCAAAATCCGTGCAACAGTCTACCAAAGTAGCACCAAGATGGGGTATGGATTAGAGTGGCTCATTTATTTTCGGGAACTGATATTTTAGAAATTTATTTACATACATCTTGTACTGAATACTGAAACATAGACACTAAATTATTTTGTAATATTTTATTTATTTTCTACTTTAAGCTTTGTGTATTTCAAAATAAATATCATCAAATTATTGTTTGTAATATGAGAACCTAATCAAAAAGTATTTATCAATATCTTCCATAATAATTCGGACTCTCGACAGTTTTATTAGATATTTCTTATTCAAAAGTCAAGCAACAAAAATCAGCGTTATATTTTCAAATTTTCACAGGACTAGTTTCGATGGTTTTACCGAACCACCATCGTCAGCTGCAAAAGTGCAAATAAGAATAGATATAATGATCAGATAAGATAAGAAATCCTGGACACGAAAATAAGCTTAGTGGCGCCATCTGTTGAATGAAACCAGAACTAAAACATAATTTCTTTAAAGGCCGAAGGCAAAGATGGGTTGGAATTAGGATCGTTAACTAGACCAGAAAGATTTTTTTGAATGTGAAATGCCTCTAGAAAATCCAGTTCTCCAATTGAAGATTTTTTTTGAATAATATTGGCAGCAGAAAAATTAAAAGTGTGATTTTCGGACCAACAATGTTGGGCAGCAGAAAAATTGAAAGTGTGATTTTCGGACCTACAATGTTGTCTTCTGTTGCCCAACATCGTGCTATTTATAGCAAATTATGTTTACATTAGAACGTTCATCATTTTACTTTTGTTGCCATCTATATCAAAATCCGCAATATTGTAAGAAAAAATAACAAGCTAAAATTAAAAAAACTGCTCCCTCTCGTGGCCAGCTACATAAACTGTAACAACTGCCTGCCATCAAACGCAGCATTTGTGGCACAAATATTTGGGAATATTTCTCTGTCTCTGAGATAGGAATTATTTTTTTATATAAAATAATGTGGATCAGTATATAAATATATGAATATTGTGTATGAAACCTGGAAGCATGTTCAAGAAAACTTGAAATGCAAAACACATTCAAATTTTATCAGGACAGCGAACCTAAATATCAGTTCGCTTGTGGTTATTATACACTAGTCCTAAAGTTATCAAAACTACTTCATATTCTTCGTACTTAAATCCTACTTGCTTGCGTAACTGTACTAGCCAATGGGATGAAGTTGCCACGGCACAGGTTGCCGTTTCATTTGAGACGTAGACAATTTCGTGTAAAACTTGCCTTTACTATGACCATCCATAAGTCTCAGGGCCAGACGATTAAGCGTGTTGGCATTTTTTTACCTGAGTCTGCCCTTGGATACGGTCAACTTTATGTTGCCTGTTCAAGAGCTCGTGAAAGAACGGGCTTAAAATTAAAAATAATGAATGGTCCTCTGCAAGACGAGCTTAAAATTGATGGAAAGATCTACACAAGAAATATTGTGTACAAAGAGATCTTTGACATGTGAATTACATTTTATTATTTAAATCACCTTTATTTATTGAGCTACTGGTGGGTCTTCAGAAATGTACCGCCAGTGGTTTCCTTCATTGAACTCTACCTTAAGCAATTAAGCATGTAGAAGGAAGAAACGCCGTGGGGCTTTAAGCAAAAGGGCCGTCCTTGCCCCTTGCCCTGGGTAATTCAGTTTGAATTAGCAGACACCTTTGCAAAAATCATTTTAATTACAATTTATAATATCTAGAACAGCGGTCATTTCGTTTGATCGCTGTGCTTTCTAGTATCGCATATGCATGGAATGACTTCAAGAAAAGAATAAGGAAATATGATATTTATTCGAAAATTCCTCTAAAAACAAACTTTACGAAGGCAGGGAACAATTATGTATGAAAGTGTTAGTTTAATCCATGTCAAATCGCTTGAAAATTGTAATTAAATGTAAAGACTATCCAGCCAAATATTGAATGAATCGTGATTTTCATGTTTATTAAATGCAAACTATTTATTCAAAGTGTCCAAATACGTGTATCGTTTTTCAAAACAATCAAATTTTAATAAAGATTATAAGTGATAGATATCAAAGAAAAATAAAGTTATTTCGCCGATATTTAGTAACTTGTATTTGGGAATAAATGTAAAGACTGCTACTGTACAAAAATAAATGTAAACCGGTGTATGTTAGCTAAATTTTAGAAATTAATTACATTTTCGAAGCGCAAAGCACAAAATCATTTTGTACCAAAAGTCGAAACGTAGACTTCATTTCAGATGACTTTTATTAATTCATAGAAATTTTAAATAATTATTTAAGAGGTAAGTACTTACTATTTACTCAAAATTTCCTGAGTTCTTCCTAATTTTAAGAATTTTATTTAGAACTCGTTAAAATCATAGCTTATGAAATTTTTTAAACTAATTTTAAATCTTATAACAAATTATTATCGGGTGAAGGCCCTCATCTGTATTATTTTAGATTTTTTTACTAAAAGATTTTGCTAAAACCCTTGATCTAAATCAGCAGAAATTTTGGGATGTGAAAGTAGTGAAATGACCAACATCCTCCAATGTTATTTGTAAAATAATTCAAATAAGTAAATCTTAGAATTATTAATATAGTATTCACATTCTCTAATTTTTTTTTTTTTTTTTTTTGGTAATGGAAAAAACATTCTCGGTCTTAAAAGTCAGTTTTCTTTTGCATGTAGCAGTGTTCGTTAAGCAGTTTCTGGGTGAAGGAAAAAACTCATTGGCGAAACATTCACAAAAGTTTTTTTTTTTCCTTAGCATTTGCTAGAAAATCTTTAGACTAACTTTATTTATAAAGTGTTTGATTTAGTATGTTGTAGAGATATAAGGTAATTTTTTGGAAGCAGGAGTGATGAAAAATAAGCAACGCTCTCGCCGGAACACGGAGACCTCTGGCTCTCGCCGAACCACGGACCTCTGGAATACTCGCCCAGCGCGCAGACCACCACACCACGAAGTCATTCTAAGAAGGCGGGAGAAATACCTTATATACTCCCCCTTTTAAAGGGTGACTAGGATTTTTAGGGGACCCAGTCGCCAAATCCTTGCTGTGGAGAACCATCATCCACCACCCTTTTAGTTCGGGTCCACTTATACAGACATTAGGTATTTTTTGAAAGCAGGAGAGATGAAAAATGAGCAACGGCTTCGCCATGAATCGAACCACGAACCTATGGAATACGCACCCAGCGTGCTGACCACTAGACTGCGAAGGTACTCGAAGATAGCGAGAGAAATACCTTATAATGTAATAGATACACTGACTACCAATAAGTATTTGGACACCTGTGATAGAAACGAAAAACTAACTTTATTCAAAATCAATAGTTGGTAGAGCCTCCACGAGAAGTAATTACAGCGTGGACCCTCCGGGGCATACTTTCCACAAGTCTTTGTATGACATATGGTATACTTTGTATTCCACAAGTCTTTGTATGACATATGGTATTTTCTTCCACTCGGCTTGAAGAAGACATAGAAGTTCCTTCACCAATTTTGCACGGGTAGTGCACCCCTGAATTCGGCGATGCAACTCGTCCCAGAGGTTTTCGATAGGGTTCAGGTCTGGACTCTTGGCAGGCCAGTCCATTCGATGAACTCCATTGGCACCATACCAAGCCTTGGTTAACGTCGAAACATGACAACTGGCATTGTCGTCCTGAAAGTAACAGGGGTCCAACCCGTAAAAAACTGCCACAACGTAGGAAGCACATTATCATCCAAAATAGTGCAGTAGGCATCGGAGTTGAGCTTACCATGAATGGGGACCAAGGGTCCCAGCCCATACCAGGAGAAACACCCCCAGACCATAATTCCACCTCCGCCGAACTTGACTGTTGGCACAATGCATTCTGGCAGGAGACGTTCTCCAGGTAGACGCCAGACCCAGACCCTGCCATCCGAACGGTAAAGGGTGAACCTTGATTCGTCACTCCAAAGAACCCGTTTCCACTGATCTACGGTCCAATTTCGATGTGCTTTGCACCACATTAACCGAACAGCGCAGTTGGACTTTGTGATCAAAGGCTTATGGGCAGCAGCACGACCATTAAAACCAAGCAAATGTGCTTCCTTACGGATGGTATTCATTGAAACAATACTCCCGGATGCCTGTAGAAACTCCTCGCGGATGAGGGACATTGGTTGGGTGTGGTTCTTCCGAATTTCTCTGGACAGCACTCGTCGGTCTCTATCTTCCAGTTTCGTTGGTCTGCCGACTCGGGGCACATTCCGACAATCATCACACCTTGCACTTCTTAATCACATAGGCCACTGTCGATATTGGGTACTTCAGATCGCTAGATATGTCCCTTAAGGATCGGCCACATTTGTGATACCCGATAATTATACCTTTCTCGAAATCAGAGAGCTCCGAACTGCGAGGCATCTTGCACGCGACTAAAGCCGATGCTGTTTCCTACGCGATATATACCGGCCAGTCCATGGCGTACCTTGGGACCGCAGATATCGTCATTTGCATAGGCGTGTACGACGTTAATATAAGTAAGGGGTCACAAGTAAAACTCTCAAATGAATGGACACGAATACTTTTGATGTACCACGAATCTTCCTGATTTACGTCTATTGAGTTTGTATTTGACCGGCCTGTTCCCAGAATAGAAAACTATTTGTTATAGATGTGATCCAGTTTTTACATTATTGTAGGCTGAAAATTCATTCGAACGAAACTTCAGCTTAAAGGATTCGAACGAATGTACAGATTAAAGCATGTTTCTTTTAGGTTGAAGAATTTGGAGTTTTAATTTTAATCTTTGCATTTGTAATCAGTTTCATCTTTAACCTTTCTATAATCAGATGAACAATTGTTTGCTAGTACTAAATGCAACCTTTAATTTCAGTGAGATATTGGTAAGGCTTTCTGTTTAATTCTGGTTATAGTACTTGTTTTCATACATGTTAAACTTGTTCTTAGTGATGTACATCATTCGTTATTCTTCAGACAGATTTTCGAATGTAAACGTTTGGAGAATCGTTTATGTTTTCAATTTTAACATGCTTTGAAAACTCGTTGGTTGCTAGGTGGATAAAGGTGCTGAAATATTGCCATTACCAGCGTCGCATGCATGCCCTATTTTAATAATCAACCGAAATGAACATTCAAACAAGCGCATCACATGAGTAAACGTTTATTACAACCGGCATATTTGTTTTTAATTGATACAACAATATCTTTAGTACAGTAATAAAAGAAGATATTTAAGAAACAACGTTTAATAAATATTTCGAAAGTAACGCAGTTTTCTAAAATTCAGAGGAAACGATTTCTGATTAGTACTTTTTGCATGTTGCATTAGTTAAAAAAATGTGAATCTTTGATGTTTAATCTATTTATTACATTATTAAAAGTTTTTGGATAATTGAAATGGAACGCTTTTTAAATTTAGTAACAATAGTTTCATTCCAAGATACAGGACCTTTCAATATTCGGAAAATTATTTTTTAATCTTCCACGCAGTGAACGCGTTCGAGCGGTAGGATTGTTGAATACTGATAGTTCAGTCCGAAGCTCGAATCCTGTGAACGTGCTGGCTGCATGGGTATTTCGTGGTTTTCTCCATGTGTAAAGGAGTCAGTTTTCCTTAGAACGTCCTCCACAAAGGCATCCCTTCAATTAGGCAGATAACCCACGAGGCTTTGCCGTAATCACATAAACCAAACCATACAGCGAAAACTGTGATCTCTGTTATAGCATTGATGATCGGTAACTGTTTCTATATGTAAACAAAATTATATATATAAACAGTTTATATAAAGCAGTATTGAGACTGAAAAAAATAACTAAATTCATTTAGAAGAAATTTAGTGCAAGTCTGATTTTTCTAGTAACTGATGGAAAACTCTATGACTGAATAATTCGAATACAGCTATAAAATTTGTGAATAAATATTAAAACTTAACACAAATATTAATCGCATTTATTTTTTTTTCTTTTATTTGAACTAAGTCCTACGTTTTAATAAATGTACTCATTTATGCAAATTTTACTTTAAGTTCTTCATTTGGTTGCTATTACATTTTTAGTAACTGCAACGAAATGAGTCTCATTAATTTATTTTATATGAATGTACTTTCTCTGTCAACTGCATAAATTTCACATTCGAGAATAATAGTTTAAATCCAAGAAAGAGTGGTTTAATTATTTTTTGTATAGCAATATTGAATGCGTGCTGCTTCCATAAACGATGCGGACCTAATTCTACAGGAGGGGCGTGCTGTTTTGATAATGCAAGGTTATAGATGGTAATTATTATTAATGCTGTATATATGTTAGTGGAGATTTTGCCATTTAAATGCTTGTCGAATGTATTTGATAATACGTTTTTGTTTGAGACTGATGTACATTGAGAAGCATTCACTGAGACCGTTCTAATGTCGTTAGATCCTTAAATATCTAAGAAGATACTATCATAGAGTAAAAGTTCTCCTGCAACTCCCTGTTGGATACGTCAAAAAATTGGCTTGATGACGGGTTTCAACTGTTATGGAGGTGTAATAAGTATATTTTGAAAATTAATTAGAAAGACTAAGAAAGTAGGATTTGCACTACGAAATTTCCTGATTTTCTAACTTTATTTTAATCAAATACCTTTTACTGTTTATAGAACGTATAATTCTGTTAAATGGGAAAGATCGTTACTTAACAGAAATATATTTCAATTCTCAGAGTGGAAAATTTAACTTTGATTTTATAATTATTTATAAACTCAAATTAAAAATATGTTGTTTTTTTTTTCAGTTGAAGAATGTTTATGCCGACTACAAATACTCAAAACTTCTAAACTGCACGTAAGTGGTTTCCAACTGTTTCTTTCCTTAGAGTCTTACTCATTCATGCAAGTGTGGGAATTTGGTAAGGAGACTGTATTTTTTCTCAACGAAAAATCTCAAAAATTTAACTGTTATGCATCACAAAATGCTGCCCGATATTCCTGCATTAACTCAATCAATAGACAGGGTCAAGGAATGGTAATGAAAAACTGTATGGAAGTAATTTTTTTTTTTTTTTTTTTTTTTTTTTTGGTTTTGTAGAGACTTTGGATATTTTTGAAAGGCCGGAGAGATGAAAAATGAGTAACCGCCTTCGCCGGGAATCGAACCGCTGACCTCTCAATTACGCGCTGATCATGCAGACTACTACACCACGAATGCTCGCTTAGAAGGCGGAGATAAACACCTTATGTACTCCCCTTTAGAAGGGCGACTGGGGACCCAATTGCCAAATCCTGGCTGAGGAGAATCATTATCCAACACACTTTTAGTTCAAGCGCCTCTGTAGAGACATTCGGTATTTTTTTTAAGCAAGTGGGATGAAAAATGGACAAAAACCTTCCCCGGGAATCGAACCGCTGACCTCTCAATTACGCGCTTAGCATGCAGACCACTACACCACGAAGGCTCACTCAGAAGGTGGGAGAAATACCTTATATACTCCCCCTTTTAAAGGGCGAATGGGGACCTAGTCGCCAAATCCTCGGTGAGGAGAAACATCATCCAATACCATTTTAGTTCGGGCGCCACTGTAGAGATATTCGGATTTTTTGGAAGACAAAGAGATGAAAAATGAGCAACCTCCTTTGCCGGAAATCGAACAGCGGACCTCTCAATTACGCGCTGAGCGTGCATACCACTATACCACGAAGGCTCGTTTAGAAGGCAGGAGAAATACCTTGTAACTTACAGACAGGTTTTGGCACTTCTTTGGATCTCGTCACGGTCAAAAATGCAGCATTAAATGTCATGTTATAAGTCGTTAACTTTAAAAATTTTCTCAGAACGATTTTCAAAACTCAGTGTAGTTTTAATTACTTTACTGGAAGTTTTATCTAAATGCAGGCTTTTTATTTATTTCCCACACTATACATTTTGTTTCACACCAATATTCAAGTGTATTCATGTAATAGTCAATAAAATGTTTCAGTATTTTAATAGTTTAACTTCATATGATATTATCATAAACTCTAATAACTGAACATTTTCTCTAAGATGAACGAAAAAAAAAAAAAAAAAAAAAAAAAAAAAAAAAAGATGCCGGATATTCTCAAATCGACTTAGCATTTTTTTAAAGTTTTTCATATAAAATAATGCAATAAAAGATTACATTTAATGCTGGCTTAGCGTTTGATTTGATTATTATAGTGATTCAGTTTTGGCATATTAGTATGATGAGAAAACTATGAAAGAGCGCTAATAAAATTAATATCAGTTGCAAATTAATGTTTGCAAAGATTAATTCAGTATAATTATTAGAAAATAAGTACACGAATGTAATTAAGTATAATCTTGATCTAATCGCCTATCCTACCATGATCGCTTTTTACTAGTTATCTTAGGAATTAGAGTCACAAATGCAGTTCTGTGTAAATAATATTATTTATTCCTGGATATATCATACATAAATTCAGCTATACCGCATTAATCAACTCAACCATTTATTCATACTAATCGTTTCTTACCACCGTTCCCCTTTAAAAAGACCCTAATGTAGATCGGAATTACACCCTAATGTGTTTTTAGGTACCTTATTCTAAGCAGAACAACAAACTTATTGCGAATGAGTTTATTTTTATTCACTGTTTAAAGACAAAGAACTCGCAGATCTGGAGAAATGCTAAATAATTCACACTATTTTATTTTTAAGGTACATCGCCTTCCTTTCCCGGTATTTAAACCAAATTATTGTAATTATTTGAATTCCTTTCTAAACTTTGTGCATGCGAAGTAATAACTATTTGTGTATAGTTCTGTTATATTTTTCTATTCACATTGCAACTTTTAAGTTGATTTAATTCATTTCCTGCAATTAGCTATGGCGCTCTTTTCATATTTTTTTTTGTTAATGTTACGCTTTATGTAATTTTTAATTCATTTAATTTATATCTTTGACACAAGATGAAAATATATTAAATACTTAATCTTGCTAATTCATTCTAAATTTATATCCTGAATTTTTTTGAAGTCTTTTTAAAATAAAAAGGGCCAGTTTAAAGGACATACGCGTAAAACAATTATTATTCAAAAAGTTTCCTTTATTTTTCGTTAGAAACTTTTTCAAACTTCTATTATTACGTATTTCCGTTTTCGCATTTCAGCAACATTCGATTTTCCAGATACATGAGATTGGCATCGTACTGCCGAAAACTTTTTGCAGTTTTACATGACGTATTTTCGAAAAGAAATGGTACAACCGATCGCAAACGGAATATCCTCGCTGGCCTCATTTTCAAAACAAGTCGCAGCCATTATTTATCAGATTGATTGTTTCTTTCAATACTGGCATACAATTACATATAATTATTACCAGATAGTTCAATTTTATGCCCTAAAGCCATTTGCAGTAATTAAATCAATTAGGATGCAATTATACCGCTCACCGGAAGGCAAAAACATTGAAAAGGCAACTTCACGGGTTAAATTCATCTATTCTAATGAGAATGCACTGCGGTTTTTTAAACTTGTACTCCAAATTAAGATTTAACTTGAAATTAATGTAGATAGTTACCGAGAGAATTAGATTTTTCAAGCATAGTTTACGTGAGATGAGATCACTTGGACTCACGTGATATGAACCGGCGAATCCGGATGTACCATGAAAGCATAGTAAATTCTTAAATTAATGACTTGTTACAAATTTATTGTGCTTATTTATTGGCTTTATGCAAAATTTTAAACTATATATTAAAATGCCTTAAAATAAAAAAATTCTTAGAACTAGCATTTGTTAAAATTTTTTATGTGTATACTGTGTGTTGTCGCCAATAAAGTATGCTTGGCGAGATTTACGCCGGCGAAACGGAAGAGTACCTGCAATTTTACATCTAGTAAATTTATTAAATGTAATTTATTTATATAATTTGCTATTCATTTCGATTTAGAGTATTGTTGCAAAATGCCCAGCGACTACGCGATGAAATGGATTTCCCTCAAAGCAGGTGAGCCTAGGTTTGCCAGAGAGTGACACGGAACAGCAGAGTTGCCCTATTTGGCACGAAATCACGCATTTGGCGACAAAATCGGTGACATGCCATAGACGGAGCGAGAGCGCAATCTTTTTCTCGGGTTTTCTCGCGAATATTATCGAGTTCCAGTTCCGCTAAATGCCGAACCTAGCTAGTATAACTAACTAGCTGTATGCCTGCTAAATGAAACAGAGTGCTCTAGGGGAATGAAAGTAGTGAGTAGAAGTCTAAAAATCATGAGAAATAAAAGAAGGGAGCCAAAGCGTAACTGGCCTGTGAAGAAAATAGTCATGACGTGAGTGACGAACCGTGCTTGAGAGGTGGCGCCATCTAGTAACGTTTGGCGCAGTTATTCACAGTAATCGTTTAGAACTAGGTGAAAGAAAATGAAATATTCAATAATTGCAGGGCAAACAGTGTTTTATCTTCTTGAGAGTTCCTACTTTTAAGAATCTTGGCAAACTGCAAAAGTTTGCTGAACAAATGAGCAAACTTTTCAAGAAATTGAACAACACGGGTGTCAGTGTTTGAAGTTTAAGTATGAAGTTTTTAATTTAGTATCTGAAGCTTTCGAAGGAGCAGCAACATCAGAAGTAGATTTTTTGGGCTTCGCAGTTTTCTTTTAATTTCTTTGGCCGACTCAGGAGCAGTCTTATCATCAGATTTTTTTATGCAAATTTTGGTAAAAGATTCACATCCTTTATACAATGCAATATGCAATTTTTGCACCTAATACAGGTAGGCTTTTGCTTCTTTGGACAAAGCACAAGTGTAGGTTAGATGATTGGTCCAAACTTCTGACACCTCGATGCATTATTGCAGAAAAGCTGTCTGTGGCCAAACCTTTGGCAGCGGAAATACTACATCATAGTACTCCTGTTTGATCTTAATTGCCGGATATTCACATGAAGATCCAGAAGTTTTCTTTTTGTAGGTATTTCTGCAAGTATCATATCTTGCCAATGACGCGGAGAATATAGGCAGCTTCGTTACCATTACATTTGATATCCGAATAAACTGCGTTACTTTTAGAATTGGAAAACCATCATTAATAAGTTCAGTATGGATACCATTAATATCCGAATCTTCTGGTAAACATGGGATGACTATCTTGAGAGACAGTCTTTCATCAGATGAAAGTTCTGAACTGGAATTAATTTTTAAGAAAAACCGCAAATGCATGTCCTCAACTAGCAGCATTGTCAAAAATGATGGTAATTTTATCTTTGGTCAGAATTCTTGTGTATCCTTTTACAGCATGCTTAATAAAAATGTTTATAATTTCTTTTCATGAATCATCCGATAGAGGACAGACGTTCTTTATTTTTTTCAATTGAAGGGTTGACAACATCGATAATGTTAGCAAAGGTAACATTTGGTCGGCTTGCCTTTGTAGCCAGAGGGTTCATCATTAATCTCCGTAGTTCTCGGGAATGGAAACTGTTTCACAGGCTTGAAAGCTGTTCTTAATCGAAATATTAGAAGTTACATTCGGGGAGGTAACAGCCTTTTCAGGAACTTTATCTGACGCAGGCTTGGCAGTCTGAGTCGCTGTCATCTTAGCAAATTTAGACGGAGAAGTCCCGCAACTATCATCAGATTTTGATGTAGCAATACTATCAGTATCGCTTTCAGCAACCCAAGGCGCAGATTTCCTATCTTTCCCTTATTTCGAGAAACAGTCTACATCAGACGAGAACGCAGAGCGTTCAAGATCTCTGAAGGAGAAAATATCAGTGTCTAGAACTTCTAAAACGTCGATAAAGTTCTCTTTTCATCGTGGAGACGACTATCAAAACGGATAGCCAGATTGAATATTATGCTGAAGCTTAGCAATACCATACAATCTTTCAAGAAGATGCTGTTCATTAGTGTGTGCTAATTGCCGAGTAAGCGACCTCGTGTGAAGCACATTAAATAGGAAATCGTGGCATAATTCGTGTATAATACGAGCACAGGCGTAATAAAAATTAGCGTGTTTAAACCAGTCTAAGCATCAAGAAAGCACAACCTTCACTCATGAAGGCAAACCTTGGACTCCTGATCAGTATTCAGTATTTTCGAAGCTAGGTTAAAGCTATATATAAATTGCCCATACGCGGAGAGATTAGTAGTGACTTGAGTTCAGAGATTAGCTTGAGAGCGGTCGATCGAGTCGAGAGCTCTACTTTAGTGCTTTGCTGCGAAGCTCTCTTCACCATTATAACCCGATAGCCTGAAGGCAGTAGTGCTGATTTTTTTAACGTGTCTGTTATAGTTTTTTTGATCAATGTAAGATTGTTTTTGTTGCCGTCCTGTGTAATAGTGACTATTAGCGAATAAATTGTGTTTTGATTCTTCATCAAGTGTTGCTATCAATTACTCCAAATCCATGAAGACGTAAAACGCAACGGTATTATTTAACTCTGCGTTTACTTCAAAAAAAAAAAAAATACAATGCTTACAAAAGCACATAAAGTTTAAAAACAAAACTAAGGCATTAAACCCATAAAATTCATAACAGTCTACTAAAAAAATATAAATACACAAAATTAAGTCCGTAAAAGAAAATTAAAATGCTATTAACAATGTTCTGTAAAAGAACTGACTCGTCTGAAATCTTTGTACATCTTACGCAGTCTTTATAAACAAATATTTAACAGTATAAAATATCCAAAAACTCCAAACGAAATTCTTAAAAGAATGTTTAGAGGTATTAACAAATTTCAACAAACATAGAGCTCACCGTTAACCAAATACAAGTAGATATAACACTGGTAATACTGGAAGTGCGACCAACGTTCATGTTCTGATGAGCGGGCTGACTACGTAATCGTCAGTTTCTTTCTAGGACTTTGCCTGTGTGTAACGTGAGTACGAACTAGTTTCTTTTCGAATGACCTCCATGAAGGCTTTATTTTGGAGAGGCATATATATAAGTCTTGTGCTTTGCAATAATTTACTAAGTGAAGTAAATGAAAGAGAATATATCTCTGGTAATCTGGCAAAGAACAGATAAAATAGAATTTATTTAAATGCGATTTATAGAACTGCTTGTTGATGTCATGAACTATTTTCAGAGAGGAAGGAGAAATACTGAATTGCAATTTAGAATTGCAGTTTAAGGAGAAAGTGGGAAAAGAAGAATTAAGGAAGATTGCTGATCCTTCGGTATGTATCCCACTGACGGGCACAGATTACTGTTGGATCAAGCCAAAGCTCATATTGAAAAGGATACACGAAAAAGGTAAGTTTGTTATTCTTCTAAGACAGCTGATATCATGCATGTTTTATTTCCTCCCTACCTGTGTGAAATATATTCATATGTAGTAAACTATCAACTAATATTCTAAACTACGCTACGAAGAACAAAAATGCGGATTTTATCCAATTTTGCTAAATTTAGTAATTTTACTCTCTTATAAAATTTAATATTTCGAAGAGAAGCAATTATTTTAATTATCTTTCTTGTAAATAAACATTTTAATTTTCCTGCTAAGTATGTTATTTTATAAGAAAAAAAAAAAAATGTTACTCAAATATGCAACACTTAAATAGTCTTAATTTGTAAATAAAATTAGATGTATATGAAATAACAAATTTTGCAAGCAAATTGGATTAGTAATGGCGGATTAAATTCAGTCAAAATCCAGTTTTATTTTGTAATAAAAATCACATTTCTAATATTGAACACTCTTGAAACGAAATAACAAACCAGAGGCTATTATTCGCATATTAAACTGTGAACGATTCTTCAATACTAATGGGAGTTCTTAGAAAAAATTCCAAGTGTAAAGTCAGTATTTTTTTAACATACTAAATTCGCATGGTGATAAAAATTTTAGCAAGTGCACTGTGAAATTTTCTGATACTTGTCTTAATTCAGAAACTGCATTACCAAAATGTAACAAAGTATGGAAGGAATATACATACTTGAATATGTCTTAAATCTATTGCTTGGAATAACTTCCAAATGTCATTTCCTGGAACTAAAAACATTAATATGTATTTCATAATAGAAATTCATATATATCGGAGATATAAACTGTGAAAAGTATCAATTTGCTGTAGGTTTCTTTTAAAATCAGAAAAATTAATATATATTCCTCGTAGAGATGATTAAAATTTTAGCAGAACAGTTTGTGCTTCTCTTCTAACAAAAGTTCTACAACATATAGATTTAAGCTATAGATTGCAAAAAGAGTAAAAAAAATATGCATTTTTCTTCTTATATTAAATGTAAATTCTAGAATAATGTTTAATTGTCTGTTTTCATAAATAACAAAATTATTTTCTTATATCTATAGAAAATCTATACGGTTGTTTAGCTTTTAAGAGGTTTTCTTTTAATATAATTATCAAAATTTATACAATTGTTGTATTTTAAACTGCAGCTGTATTTATTTTAAGTATAAGAAAAGATTATGGTTATTAATATGTTAAACATATGGTATGGATTAATTTTTCAGGTATCGGTTTTCATAATTAGTAAAACGGGAATAACTTTAATGCAGAAGATATTTGAAATCCTTCTCTGCACTGTCTGTATGCCCGTTTGCACGGTTTAAAATCCACTGTGTTTGAAATTATAAAAATCATGTAAATTTGAGTTGTCTGTTTTCATATTGAACAAAATTATGAATTATATTTATTTAAACATTAAACGTCTTATTATGCAGTCTTCTCTAATTTTTATCTTAAAATAAACAAAGAATACGAGACATTTATGTATTTTACGTAGCATCTTAAACGTGTTGATTAGCTTATAGAAAATTTATTAATGACATAAAGTTTAAGCATTCTATCTTGAAATCATCTTATATATAAAGATGTAAAATATAAAAAAAAGGCTAATTGTCATAATAAAACCAAAGGAAAAGACGGAACACTGTAGATGCGTGATTAGACCCATATTGAAGAAGATTTTGATTGCGTAGTATGCTAGTAATGCTAAATTGGTAATATCTAAAGAACTTGGCAGTCAAGGCAGTTTTAATTCCATTTTTATTTACAACTGATATTTGTGGCCACAATCACTTGGCACTCTAGTCGTGCCTTTCCACAGAAGATTTACATTTTTGATATTGTTGAGATAGAAAGCAAGCCAGCGAAATTACATCTTAGCACAGTAGAGAGCAAAAGCTGAAGTGCGTAGTTATGAAAGATGGAAGCACGGCGAAGATAAAAGGTTTGGTTTACAAAAGCAGTTTTAGTTTCCAACTATTACGTCATCAGAGCTGCGCGGGCCATAGAGTGATCTAGAAATGACGCAATGCAGAGAAGTTATTACGATTTATGCTGCGTCATAAGTTCTCCTACACAGATGCCTTCTCGCCTCCGTTCTGCTAACGCCTCCGTATGCTCCTCTTTCTTTGTTAGAACGTTATAACGTATTAAAGTCAGTCGTATCTAATAATTCAATTACTGAATAAGTTATTTGAGTAACTTCATCTGAGAAAAATCATCTGCTCTAAAATAAAATAAAGATATGCTGTTAAAAGTGAAAAGTCCTGAGTCGTCAATTTCTCCGTGGTGCAATCATCCTAGCTTCGTCAACCATTTGCCAAAACGTGAAATGGAATAGCCTCACCATTCACCCACGATGTGTTGGAATAACTCAAAACATTACATATATATATCTTAAAATATACAGAACTGCATAGTAAATTTGATAAAAAAGATAAAGTTGCATTCTAGTCATATTATCTTAAACATATTGAAGAAAATGATTTTCAGTTTTTATTTATGCAATCAACTATTACTGTTTTACAGAAGTTTTCCACGCAACCGATCCTTGTACTCCGCTTGTAAGAAGCACTGTTTGTGGGCTAATGACAACATGCAAGCAAGAGAAAAGTACGAATGCTTTCACTTGCACATGCAAGAAAGGATTCCAGAGTATTAATACATTTAAGCCAACTATTTCAGCTAATTCTTTAGTTCACGTATGTGAAGGTGAGTGCAAAATTGTTTCACGTTCTTTTAACTCCTTTACATTAATATTCAGCACACTGCACTCTTTTTAACCAGTGATTATAGGTCTGGTAGAAAAAGCGTTCATATTCTTTTCTGAGGTAGTTTATAAGGTAGTAAATGAAGGAGAATATATCTCTGGTAATCTGGCAAAGAACAGATAAAATAGAATTTATTTAAATGCGATTATAGAACTGCTTGCTTGTAGATAATATGGAGTTTGAAATTAAAATGTTTTAAACCATTTCAGTTTAAATTTTAGGGATGAAAGAAACATATCCGATTCGGCTCCTAGCGTCTGTAGTATATCTCCCTGGTAAATGAAAGAGATTCAAATCAGTAACACAATTAAGTATTTTTTTCCATTAAGTTTGTATCACGTACATACCAAAACCTTCCGCAAAAAACTAATGATCTAATTCAGAAACATTTTAGAAGGCAAGACAAGCACAAAAATAACACAATATTGTCTTTAGAGAAATAGTAATCGATTTAAAAAGATCTCATAAACTATGTAAAAAGGGAAAAGGAAAAGTATATTTCTCACAATTTTCTATTCTAGATGTTAAACTGTCAGTACTCACGTGTAGTGAAATTAATAATAATAATGATAATGAAACACAAGGTTAATATGTCACTAACTGTGACCAATAGGTTATTGTAAACATTACCTCAGAGTAATAAGTAGAAATAGCATAAGCAGTGTACTATATCATAGTTATTTGCAAACATTTATTTCAACTTTTAAACATATATCCTTGAGGTTTGTGAAATTCATATTCTTAGACTACTTCTGCTTGTAATTTTCGGCTCTGTTTCTTCTTTTACTTTATTATTACCTATAATTTTTCTTTGTTGTTACTTATTTTCCGAATGATATTACAAAAGTCATAAATCAGTAAATAACAAGCGAAGAAAAGTATCAAATTTTAATTTGACTGTCGTTGCTTCGGAAGCAGTTTGTTTCTGTTATCAACGTGTTGTCCACAGAATGAAAAATTCACGAAACCCACATTTAAGATAACCTAGTTACAGTAAAAATTCCGCATATTTCCCTATATACGATAGTAAGCAAGCTTAAAAAAGCAGATGCAGTATCGCATTTCATAAAACTGCGTCACGATTGTTCAAACCTCACTTTGCAATATTTTGATATGTATTTATTGATTTGCTTTTTATACATTTGTATCGCTCAGCTGTAAGATAATTTTATAAATTGATACTGGCACGTATTGCTGTATGCTTCAGAAACATTTTCCGGCTCCACAACTTTGTAGTTGTCGAAGCCCTAAACTTAAAACGTTGTGGGCACCGGATGTTTAGGTGCATTTTTCCGAACATGTAGAGATAAATGATAATGAGTTCGCAGATATTACAGCAAAATCTGCTCTTATCGGCTTATCCCATTTTCTGCGAAGTCATCAATCAGAAAATTCTGAACAAATAACAGCTATTATTGTTCAATAATAAGCTGGAAAGAATAAAAATAAGCTAAGTGGTGTTCCGTGAAGCATCTAAAAACTGGAATGAGAAGGTTCTTTTCACAAATCTTAGAATCGATCATTCTCTATTTAAGGCAAAGTTGAGACTTAAACCACAACTGAAAATGAAACTGTTTTCTCAATCTGTAATGACGTATTATCTATTTAACATAAACGGGTTACTCGTAGCAAATTTTTAAGCTATTTTAATAGCTATCATGTCATTCTCGACCGAATGGCAGGAAAGCACATCGGCGATAGTTTATTTCTTTATTTAACCACTTGCGCTAAAAAGACGTGCCAGGCACGTCGAGATGCTTTTGTCTCAAACCGCGAGCGACGTGAACACCACGTCGATATGCATTTATCGCAAAAATGAAAATAACGTGGTACACACGTCGCCTAACAACGAGATTGTTTATTTCTCGAGTCACAGCTCTGGATTGCACTCGCAGACACGGAGCGGCGTAAATGAGACACTTTACCGCCTGTTATATTGTAGCGCACGGCACCGCAACCGTGAAGTTTAGTCGTAGCGCAAGTGGTTAAAAAAGACTGGATTTTACGAAATAATTTATATTTTATTAAAGTATATTGTTGTTGCTACCACTTTTATTTGCCTGACAACGTCAGCAAATTCCCATGGTATCCATCGTTACCAAGGAGCCAGTGCATCTATCATTGGCAAGAACCTGTGTTCGGTGCAATATATAAACCAGGAGGAACCCTAATTCCCCGTACTCTTACTAAGTGTGAATGAGAGGAGTCAATGGACTTGAAAAGAGGTATATAACATGACTTCTCCCACGTCTTCTAAGTTTAAAATCAGTGTTGGAGCTGAAGGTGCTGAATGTAAGCTACTTAAACTGCAAAAAGGAAATACTTCCGGTCTCCCGAAACCTTGAGTCACTTGCGATCATTCGAACTACACTGGGGAAGGAGGCGCGATAAATGGAACAACTAGCTTGTTTGTAGCTAATTGTTTGTAGCAAAAGTGCTTTGTGCTATTTCCGTTGTATGAAACCCAATGGAAAAGTAGTTGATTGGTAACTCGATGTCAACATTATCTCGTAGTCGAAAGGAATTCACCTTCCATAGCTGTGCTAAATACTTAATTTTATTCTTGCATGATAGCAGTAATGAATTTTCTTGGAAATATATTTAAAATTATGTTAATATTTATTTTATCGTTATATTAAATGGTATATATTCTCGGTGTGTTTAGCGCATCATAACCTTTCATGTATGCGCCATAGTTAAATGTCCACAATCCAAACCAAAATTATGCGTACGCAAACAAATATGCAAGTTTACATGCCCGTTCTTTCCGCGTGTATGGAAAGAAGTGCAAGGAGGGTGCTCCTAATTCTAATTTTAAGAATTGTACTTGTAAATTGATAAAATGTTTACTGAGGAAGGTGGAACATGTCATTGAGAAGGCATTTGACGAATTGTGGAAAATAACAATTGAACTTAAAAAAAGAAGGACATATACTGACACGGGTTTGTAAAGACCTGAAAGTGTCCAAAAATATCATGTTAAGAATGTTTACACTGTTTAGAAACACCAGTGATGCTCGCAGACAGCGAATTAAAGATCGAAAATGTGCCCTAACAGATCCTGAGGACCATTATTTAGCTATTAGGCAAAGAGTATTAAACGACAGTTGACATCAACTCATTTCAAGGTAATTAATTCATTGCAGTCGCAGAACTTGACCATCCAGATATACTGTAAACACAGGCTACATAGAAGAATCCTTGTAAGTAAAGGAAACCTATGATTTGTACCACAAATAGGTTGAGGTATACAGAGATAATCGTAATTCAAGTAAACTTTGGACGCGAGTTCTGTTCATTGAAGAGTCTCGTTTTTGTTTTGAAAGCGATTCCTATTTTGGTAAAACTTGGAGGGGGAAACACATGCAATAAGCCTGAAAATATGTATGAGAAGGTATAAAAGTGGTAGAATAATTCTACGGGAGGGTATCATATTAAATGGTAGCGCTGACCTACTTATTTTTACCACTTTATGCGACTATGAATGCTGAAATATCCAGAGTTAAGGTTCGTCATGTCAAGTTGTTCAGGGATGCAATAATAGCAACCTACTACTAATAAACAACAATGTTCGTCCCCATTGCATGTCACTGGTCGCCGATTATCCCGAGGGCGAAGTAATTTACGGATTGTACGGCAAACGGAATCGTCTATGCTTTCTTTGGATATAAATCCAATAGAACAGGTATGGGTAGCACTAAAACGCTGATTTTTATTTCTGCAGCTATAACCTACCTCTGTGCATGCGGTACTAGCCACTATGTATCCCATAATGCCCTTTATTACCACATACAATCTCCACCAGTATTCACGCTGGTGTATTATTCTACTTACGCAACGGCATGCCGCTTAGCACAACTCACCTTGGAGACAGTAGTTGTTGCAGTAGTACGATTTGGCCAGACGGGATATTTCGTGTCGTTAAGCTAACTTAAAAAAAAAGTTTATTAGAAATACTTTTTTAATCAATTGTTTTGATTTTTTCTGTAATGGTATCTTACCTAATAGTAAGTAGTACATGCAAAACTCAGAATATCTACAAAAGAAGACACCCTCAGTGTACCTTCATTTCCAGTCGTGTACACAGATGGGTCAAAGTTAAACGAAGAAGTAGGATGCGCGTTCTTGCACTCCTCTCAGAACAAGAAACAACAGAATGGAAAGGACACCTAAGGAACAACAACAGCGTTTTCCAAGCTGAGCTTTCAGCCATAAAACACGCTATTCTATGGTCTCATCAAAAGCATCTAACATATGTTACCATCTACAGTGATAGCCAAGTCGCAATTAAAGCTGTCGATGATGCAAGAAACAAATCATCAGTAGTGCAAGATATCTACGATTTATTATCACAGCACAAGAGAACATCTATAAAAATAAAGTGGGTAAAAGCGCATGCTGGACAAGCCCAAAATGAAAGGGCAGATGCGCTTGCTAAAAATGCACCTCAAGACCCATCTCTACCTCCAACCAATGTCCCATTCCCCAAATCGTATGTGAAACATATGTTGAAAAAAATTACATTAAAAAAATGGCAAATGAATGGAAAATGCAGAAGTAGGTAGAAGGCTTTTCAACTTCTACAAGAAACCCACATATGATCCAATCTCTTATACTTCTTCATCAACATATTCTATCTGGACATGGTCCTTTCCCCACGTACTACTTTGCACGAAATTTGAGCGCGATTCAGACAAGTGCGTATGTGGGGAAAAGGGAGACCCAGAGCACTATATTTTCAAGTGCCAGCTGACAAAAGAGCTACACTGCAAAGGAAGGTCACAAATTACGCCTGAGTACATTAAATGCATGCCAACGATACCTCAATTACAACAAAAGGTTTCCTTGATTATGAAGAAACTTTTCGCATATAAAAGAGAAGACATATGTCAAGATGCTATCACATGTGTATAAATACCTCTTATTCCACAACTTGCAAAAATAATGCAAGATTTCAGAAATATTGCAAATGTCTGAAACAGGCTAAATATGGTATGAATAGTTTTTATAAAATAGTTACATTAAGGGGACTCGTACACCTTAAACACCTCATGATCTTCGAATATGTGACTGTTGCAAGAATTGGGATATTTTATTTATTCTAAAAGCAATTACTTCCAACTTTGTACAGCTGACTACATAATATAGCTGCTTTAGAAACTAGTAACCAGAAAGTTTGTGTTGCCACAAATATTTTTGTAATATAATCCTCTTTGTGACAAAATATTTCGCCATGCTTCCACCTTGCGCGCATGATATTTTAAAAATGGCTAATGGTACATACTTGAAATTTGATGGAATTCTTTATATGGGCACTATTTTCTAACTGAACCAACAATATGAATAATATTTTAATATTGAAAAATTTTATGAACGAAAACATTACAAATTTTGTTAATAAAATGCATATTATAAACTCAACTCAAAATAAAATAAAAATTTAAAACGACATTTTTTAGAATTTTAGGTTCACAGTAATTTCCAAATGTTATAAAATCTATATATTAAATATGGAATTATATTATGAAACAGAATCTTTTAAACTGTGCGCGCAAGTTGGGAACATGGCGAAAAATATTGTCACAAAGCGGATTAAATTATAAAAATATTTGTGGCAACACAAACTTTCTGATTACTATTTCAGAAAGCAGCTATATTATGTAATCAGCTGTAGAAGGTTGGTAGTGATTGCTTTTAAAATAAATACGTTATCCCAATTCTTGCAACAGTCACCTATTCGAACATCTTATGGGTTTTAAGGTGTATGTGTCCCCTTAAGAATTTTGACTGTATTAGGAGATGAGGGGTAAAAATCTTGTAATAATTAAATCATTAATTAAAAAATAATATAAATAATATACGACTCTATTAGATATATTAGTGTAAATGTAAGTATCATGTGATTTTCTAATGTATATTTTCTGTATTTATGATACATTACTTTACAAAAATAATAATGTAAGACTTCAGTGCTGATGCATTTGTGTGTAACAAGTTAAAAAAATGAAAGGAAATGTATTAATAAGAGAAGAATTCGCCTTAGTAATTCAAACTAAGTATAATAAAATGAAAAAAAAAAAAAAAAAAAAAAAATTCTTCAATTAGTTCCTAAAATGATGTTATTTTAATTCGATGTAACTAGATATACTAATGTAAATATATTATTTGTATGAAGTACAATGTACAATGAAAGCTTGTATGTATTTCGAAGTAATTATGTATATCAATCTGCCATAATCCAACTTTTGTTAATAGGTTAATTTCTTTGCAATAATTGTACACTATGTCTTTGTAATTGTATATTCAATACGTAAGTCTAATATTAATGTAAAATTACTATGTAAATGTCTTAATAGGCTAGCATCCGATGCGGGCCAACTAAAAGCCCAGCGGGGTACAGTAGTGCGGCGGAGCAACACCTGTAAAAGTCACTGACGAAGTTCTGGTGCTCCGTCCACTTTTCCCTGTCCCTGTCCTTGTAATGGTATCTAACAGCAATATAACGATAAATACAGAATATCAAGAGATTCTGAAAAAAATTACTTAAAATCTAAATGCAAATGAAATGTTGTAAAAACTTTATTTAAATCTATATCTAAACATACGTAAAAAAATAAAATATATGATTAAATATTATAGCATAAATGATTCAGAAAGGAGACAATGTGTGATAATCTAGTCATAATCATTTCATTAATTATAAAACACTTATTTTCAAGTCGAACTTTATAATACCATCCCAGCAGAATAACTAATCCTACGACTTTTATTTCCTCATTTTAGGCTCATCTACAGGAGTATGATGATTATGGATGAAATCGAATTTTCACTCATCCTTTATTTATAGAAATTATTAGTTTCTTCAACTATTATGTTCATTAGAGATTACGAAAAAAAGTGGGGAAAAAATCAATCACATTCACATAACTTTGAATGAAATTTACTTCTGCAATTCCCGTAAATTCATAAGGCTTGAATTATTTAATAGATTGAGTTCCTGATGGGTTCCACAAGGGGGCTTTATCGCCCACGTTGAGAACTTAGGCACTAGTGCATCATCCGGCTGCTAGTAACATTCGGGCTAATGCACATACGAAGTACCCGTCAGCAGAGGGTCTTTTAGTTCAGCAATATGCCATCGTGAAGGGGTTAAGCAATAATTTATTAAAATAACAAATAATTATTTTCAGTTAGAGAATAAATAAAAATATTAAGCTTTAAAATTCTGTGTTTTAATATTAATTGTGCAATTATCGATTAATTTTGTTCAATGTGAGCAATATACGTATGTTAAATTTGAGTTTATTGAATAATAATTACATTTAAATAAATAAATTTGATTAAATAAATATATATTTAAATACTTAAAAGGACTAAATATACGTATTTCAGTATAACGTTAAGTAATTCGATTTCGAAAAACATTTATCTTAATTAAGAAGCAGTTTTGTCTAATTAAGAAACGAAATTAACAAAACTAACAATAAATAACAAATGTATCTAACAGCAATATAACGATAAATACAGAATATCAAGAGATTCTGAAAAAAATTACTTAAAATCTAAATGCAAATGAAATGTTGTAAAAACTTTATTTAAATCTATATCTAAACATACGTATAATTTATAATTCACTGAAATAATAAAAATACGCTTATAATAAATATTCTTATAAATATAGTAGATTGTGTATTTATTTGATCCATGGGAATGCATTCTAATTCTTAAAATATATCTGTATGGGAACAAAATAATTGGACCTTAATAATCTATAATATCAGGCCATGTCGTATCTTACCTCATAGCAGATCGAACACAATCACTTGCGGCTAACCGCACACATGAATCCTCTCTGTGGGGTCCCTCGGAACCCTGACCATTATTCCATTCACAATAAGAGACATTCTACGGCAAAATGTTTATTTCCCTCAGTTTAAGAATAAAGAGTGGATTTCTCTCCACCAAAATTCAAAATAAAATAAATCTCTATTTTATAGAGAAAGGAATTTTTATTCTACTGTAAATGTCATTACATTATTATATATAATGTATTATTTTACTAATTGAAATATAATTGAAAACTTTAATTCAAGTATAATTGAAAATATATTGTCATTGTGTTTACAGATATAAATGAATGTCTGGACGAAAATATTTGTCCAAACACCACTAATTGTAAAAACACGTTTGGCGACTACGAGTGCTTTTGTAAAATTGGTCACTATAAAGAAAGCGAAGGTGATACTAAAAAGGACGGTTGCTTAGGTAAGTGTGTAGTAATTTGAATTTTGTAGGCCACGTTTTATAAATAAGCACTGTTAATGTTACGTAAATCTGATAAAATTATGGATTAATATTAGGAACTGCTTTATCTACCTATAATATGCTAGTAACTTTAATGAAAGCAATGTTATTTAAATAAAGATTATGACTATTTCCATTTCAAAATTTGGACGCCAAATTATTACAAGCCAATGACATATTACTTGTTGGGTTAGAGGAGAGTACTTGCAAAAAAGATCATATGACACACTAGAAATAAAAATAAAATTAAAATGCTTTCTAGAATCATATCCGTTCCGAAACGATTAGAATAAAATCTATGAAATGCAATTACAAAAACGAGAATAAAGAGAAAAATATAACAAATATGGCGCGCTCATTAAAAATATGGCAAATAACATTTTGAAAATTTAATATAACATTTATAAATGTATGGTATGTTTAATTATATTCTTCATAATATTGTAGTGTGCTTACACTTTCGTAATTGGTTGAATGCACATAGAATTGATGATAGTTTTAGAAAATGTATTTTATGAAAAGAAACACTTCACAGATCTGGAAGATTCAACTAAAAGAGTTGTACAGCTCTTCACACTATCACAAGGAACAATCAATAGTTACATTTCAAACTACTAGGCATGTTAAACTTAAAGCAATGCAAAGCTCATCTAAAGAACGATATATCTCAGTACTCCGAACTCACGTTGAACTAAACAACTGAGAAAACTGATACTCGCTGTAGTCTTATACAGTATAGTGCCAAGAAATTTCTAGTATCTTCTACTTTTCGAAATTATTGGAAGACATATGAGAGCCGGATATCGTTAGAGTTGCGTATATTGATTAATTATAATTATTCAATCACATTACAAATTACTGTTATACATGGACTGGCCCAAAATGTCGAGAACTGGTGGCCAGGTTTGGCCACTTTTGATGATTTTTCGCCAAATTTGGAGACAAAATTAGTTGCCAAAACCGCCGCCAGCTTGGCGATAACTCGTCAATTTAACAACATAGCCATTTACTCAATGTTAAATAGGGTATCCGGACATAATCCCGACAGCCGAAATCCCGACAAGCCAGAATCCCGACAAACCAAAATCCCGACAGGGTCGAAATCCCGATTGTCCAATATCCCGACAGGGTCAAAATACCGACACGGGCGAAATCCCAATAAGGCCTAATGACCCCTTAACAAACTTCCACAGCTGCAACTAGTATATGCTTTGATGACTAGCAAATCTGAAGAAAATTACAAAAGATTATTCCAAGATTTAATTGATTTCGCTGAAGAAAATAATATTGAACTGAGGCCATCTAGAATCATTGGTGATCTAGAAAAGGCAGCTATAAATGCTCCGCGCACTCAAAATGCTGTCAAGGATTGGCACAGAAGATGGGACACCTTAATTGGACGGGCCCATGTTGGCGTTTATAACATCATAGAAGGATTTCAAAAAGAACAGGAGCATGTGGAATACCAAGTTGAATGCATTCTTCGCGGAGAACACCAACGAAAACGTAGAAAGGTAGATGATGACAGAGAAAGGAGAATTATGACTGTTGTGGACGATCGTGATAATCGACCTGTGATGGAATATCTTCGTGCTATCGCTCACAATGTGTCACTGTTTAAATATGTCGTTTGCATGTGCAAGTGATGTTTTCTTTTTTCTTAATAAAAATAATATTATAAATCTTCATTTCAAATTTAACGGTCATTTCAATTTGTTAAAAATTATTTTAAGTATTGACATAATTTTTATGATTTTTTGATTTAAACTTTTAATTAGTAATATGTAATAGTTAGTTAAAAATTGTATTTTGTTAAGCTAAATTGAGTGTTTTTATTTAGATATTAACTTGTCGGGATTTTGGACAGTCGGGATTTTGATTCTGTCGGGATTCTGGACACTCGGGATTCTGGCTTGTCGGGATTTTGACCCTGTTGGGATTTCGACCGTGTCGGGACTTTGGGTTGTCGGGATTTCGGCCCTGTCGGGGTTTTGGATCACTCGGGATTCCGACTGTCGGGATTCTGACTTGTCGGGATTTCGGCTGTCGGGATTATGACCCAGACCCGTTAAATAGACTTGCTTCCTGTAATTTATTTTTCCGGCAGAGCATCTTGTCTTTCAAGTATTTCATGTCACATTATACAAAGAATACTACAATTTTAAAGATAACTCCATTAAAATTATTTATTTATATAGAAAAATTCATAATAATATTATTGTTTCAACCAATTACGAAATACACAAGCACATTCTATGCAAGCAGAAATTACAGAATTTAAACAGTTTTAAAGAGCAACAATAGATTGCACAATTTAAATTAAAAACGAAAATGCGAGCAACAAAATATAAGCGACTCCCCCTCTTCGTAAAAGAAGGGAAAGCGGAACGGAGACGAAGAATAAAAATATTATTTGCTAAATGAAGAATGAAAAATTTTCAAATGGACAAAAATGTAACATTTTTATTAGTCCAAAGGGAAGGAAAAATCTATGCATATTTCTCACATTGTGATAAAACAACGGTACGTAGAGCTATCGAATTTTGAATGACGTAATCCTACTGCGAAGATGGGCATGTGGAAACCCAAATTTGAAATTTGTTTTATTATCGATTTCATATTTTGTAAAACTTTAACGATATTTTTGATTAAAACTCAAGGATTTCAAAGCGAGCAATGGCAACGTTGTACAGAAAAAAAAAAAAAAAAAAAAAAAAAAAAAAAAAAAAAACATTTTTATTTCCAGCGCGCGAGACTCTGTAACGGAAATTCTAAAGATATGCTCAGTTTAAAACTATTTTGCGATATTGCTCTTGAACTGAATTTTATGGTTTAAGTGCTCAGGTCGGATGATCATCAGGTCAAACATTGAGGAAATGACGATTGAGAGCTTTTTGTCTGAAAAATGATATTTGAGCAGCTGTTTAATGCGACTATGTGTGGAAGAGCTTAACTTTACAGGAAGATTACCACTTCAAATAGCTGACATGTTTGCAACGATGATGCAATTCATCAATTAAGATGCATATCTTTGCTCTATAATTAAACTGTAAGACCTATCTCTTTTATTCCACATAAACTAAATTAGATCCTACAATGAACCTGGCAAATTCTCTCACAGGCGTAAATAAATTACCAACACAAGAAGAAAGGGTGAAAAATAACCCTTTAATTAATTCAAACTAATGTAACAGAAAGGCGCGGACTTCGTGAGTTACAGCAACACCGTCCACTTGCGGTGGGAATTAAAACGTAGAATATAATACAAATATAAATGAAATAAATAGCGCAAGAACGCACTTAAATTTACGCCAGAGGTGGACTCACAGAAATTTAACTGGCGTGATACTAATCTGATAAGACCAAGAGGCCTAGTAGCGTGACCGCGAAATACCAACGAAACCTGAAAAACCTGAGATATTCACACGTTTAAATAGCACTTCGCTTAATTTTAAACTTAAATCCTGGCGAGAAAATGTGAGGGAAGTTGAGAAGTTTAGAACAGGAAATCAAAATAAATTTTTTATGCAAAATAAGGAAAACCCTACAAAACATGTCAAGGACATGGGCGTGAAGTTTATGGAAAGGGTGAAATAGTTCTAGAACGAAATGATGCTGAAAACTACATTATACTCTTAATTCAGGTAAGTTTAATGAGATTTCAAAGTAAAGAATAAGCTTTCGTGCAACCCGCATTCGACAATTATGCGGGTTATTTATGCCATCCAAATGAAAATGCGCTTCATCAATTCTATAAATTGTTTCAGAACATTCACTCTTGATTTCACATCGAGCAAAAACCTGCATTGAAAGAATCTGATCAACAAGCAGGTCTGTGGATAAGCCCTGTTGATTAAGCAAACATTTATTGAACAAAACATGTGAAGTTAGATAGACCAGAGAATTTTGCAAACTGTAAAAATTACTTAATATACTTCTTCAGAAAAGCTTCGAACACCATTTGATGCCCAATATTCTTCAAGTTTTCCCCTTATATCCTTTGTTAGTTACGCGTCAAAATACGTTACGTTTTAAAGGTCTGAACTGACAACGATTCCGTTTCTTCGAATTTCGCTATTATTTTTCATACGTCTTTGTTAGTCTGATTTTGCAAGAATATCGTATTATCGGTTTTTATTAGCAGAATACAATTTTCGATGCACGGATCTTGATTTCAAATGCAATAATTCCTCTACTTCATAAGAATATTTGTAAATTATGGTTTAAATAAGCTGGAAATTTGATCATCTAAACAGTACGTTAATATTAGCGCCATAGTTCTTTTCGTCCACTTCCTTCCACAAACTATTTTTGTATACAAAGAATAGAAACGAATTCAGAATTTAAATATTATTATAGCCAATACAATTCAGTGTTTACAGAAAACTCATTATATTTTATCCATAAGCTTTCAGCAAATGCTTTCAGCTTTTCCGTATCAGCTGAAAGCTCCAGCATTTGATCTGAAGTAATCAATTAAAAAAATTAAGGTTTTACCCGAAGATCAAATAATTTTCAAAAGACAGAGAGAATAAGACAAGGGTTTCTTTCGCAATTTTGTCATTTTTCGAAGGAACATTTAATTTGTTAAGAGAACTCAAATAATATTTTAGTCTCCTCGTATAAAATGCTATTCTTTCTGTGGAACTTGGTAGTGACCATAAAAGGAACAATAAGAAAACCGATAAGTAAACTGCTAAATAAAGTTTGAAATAACAAAAATATATGACAAAATAGGATGGATGATTTTTTTATCAAGTATAAATTAAGTTGACATATACATTAAATATCATTTTCAAATCTTTTGTAACGTAATCTCCAAAGAAGAAAATTCGAGCCTTATATGTTCATGGTTTATTGTAATTATATATTTCGCATTTATTGTTTTGAAACTAGTAATAAGTCTAGTCTAGTAATAAGTTACTCATTGTTTAATAAAACGTTTACTGTCTAGCTGTTTGTGACCCCAGTCCTTGTGTGCATGGAAAATGTGAAAAAGTTGGGGACCATGGATTTGCTTGCAGGTATGCGGAAATAAACTGCACTTTGTTCAATCCTTAAAGTAAAATTTTAGTTTCGCATAAATTTCGTATTTTCTTCTTAATAAACAATGGTCAATTATTTACTTTGCATGACATTTGATAGACAGAGATAGTGATATTGTCTGAAATTTTTAATTAATATTTATTATTATTTATTAGTATTTTAGAATCATTAAATTTAAGAATAATACTTTTTGGAAATAAACTTTTGTATATTATTTGAATTACTTGTAACGTATCTTATGTTAATTAGACAGATCATAATTTTGATCTTTATTGTAATTTATTGCTTTCGTATTCCTCACCAGAACATAAATTAATTTTAAGTGTATTTAAGTTTACGGTTTTCTGACGGTTTCAGTCTCTTTAATCTTAGAAAGAAAGAGCTTCTGGCAATCTGGTCAGCCGTTATTATTTTCGCCAGCTTTATTTAAAAGCGAAATTTCAGCTTTGGCATTCTCGCTTAAAATGAATGCCTTAAAATAAATGCGCCGGGGAACGAACTGAGCCAGCTGATTCCTGTAGTTTTAAGTTATCAGAGTTTCAGTTTAACTATCTGTTGCAGCTTAATTTAAATAGCTACAAGTAGTAGATTTTGTCTATAACACAAGTTGTGCTGTCAATTTGTTTGAAATGTATGACTAGTGATCAATCCTTTTAGTCTATTCACTGAAAGAACTCACTTAGAATTTATTTTATGCAATTTTTCGCACCCAGCATTGCACATTTCCGCATTACTGATCTGTATTTGTGAATTTAATGCAGTGAGAAAGGTATTTATTTGCCAGCATGAACGATGTTAACTTTAACCACTCCGCGATATTAAATGAACTCGTTTTGGAATGGCATGATAGGTGAAAGTTTGATTTTTTTTTCAAGATAAGGCAAAGCATCATGAATGAAGCTTTATCACTCAGTATAATTCTGTTAATCCAAGTACACTATTCAGTTTGTAAAAACTAAAATAAAAGGACTGATGAATTTTTACTATTATTGATGCATGTATGCTTCTGTCTGCAAACAGAGTTTAAGTAGAAAAAATTTTAAAAAAACTAAAATATATTATTAAAATTGTTTCGAATCTAAAATGTGTATTTGAAAAATTTTAAACTTATCAAATCAAAAATGGTTATAAACTAATGTTCGGAATTTTTTTTAGCTGCGATGGACATTACACAGGTGTCTATTGTAACGTAACAAATGATGTAGTCGTCAGTAAGTTTTCTACTTTTTAATATTTGTGTACTATGAATTATTATTTGTGAACCATGAATTATTATATGTCTACTATCATTTTGAAGTATTATTTGTGTACTATCAGTTTGAATTATTATTTGTGTACTATCAGTATGTACTATCTGTATTTTTGTACTAGGAATATGAATTATTATTTGTAGCATTTTCGTGAAGTTGGCATATGGTATTTAAGCTTTAAATGAAATTAGTTAATGTGCTTTTATTGCTTCAATATAATGCAAATTAACGCAGTCAAGTATGCGATAATAGTTTTATAGTCATTAACTGTACTTTTTAATATCTTTTATACTTTGGCAAATGCTTTGCGATAGAACATATATCTTCAGCTACTTCAACTATATATATATGTTACTACAACTGTTCTTTTAAGGTTTTCTAGTGGTTAATATGGTTCTAGGGAAACAACCAGAGGAAAAATTCTCACAGAATTATGCTCACATGTATAAATGCTCACAGGAAAAAATGCTCACACAGTATAAATGCTCACAGGAAAAAAGCTCACATGGAAAAATGCTCACTTAGAAATATGCTCACACGGAAAAAAGCTAACATGGATATATGCTCACATGGAAATAATCCCACTGATAAATAAAATACGTAGAAATATCCTTACATTAATCAATCTTGAACATAGTACATATACTAATTCAGAAGTCAAACAACAAAAATCAGCGTTATACCTACAAAATTTTCACAGGATAAGATAAGATAAAAAAGCCTGAACAAGAACTTTCTTGTTCAGGCTTTCTTATCTTATCTAATCATTATTTCCTATCTTGTTCATTTGCGGTTTTGCAGCTGAAGATGATGGTTCGGTAAAACCATCGAAACTAGTCCTGTGAAAATTTTGTAAAATATAACGCTGATTTTTGTTGTTTGACTTCTGAATTAGTATTTATTCGGCGTGTTATTGTGTCTTAATTATAGTAGATATACTTGAATTGTTTAAAGAAAAATTATTTGATCATTTGAAAAAATTATTGGACAAATGCTTACAAAAACATTTTCAGGGGCTTTATATAAAAGAATGAAAACTAGTATAATAAAATTTTGCATGTACCATAATATTTTATACGACTGCCCCTGTACGACATTTTTATTCCTTTAACTTCCACCAGTCAATTTTTGTTTTTTTTTACTCTATTTTTGCATACTTTTGATATGTATCTATAGAAACTGGTGTTTGAATATAGTTATTTAAGTTTGGAGCCAAAAAAGTTCTAGAAGACCACAATTTCCAATCGAAGCGTGGAATCATTACGATGCAGCCTCCGAAAAATCTCTTAAAACCAAAAACTGTTATCAAAGCTTTCATAAGGTACTAAATTCATTATTTAATTGTATCCATCCCACTATGTGGTTTTTATTTGACGGACTCATAAAAGATTTAGCCTGTCAACGTTTATTATTAGCTATTGTAAATACATGGCGTACTGAAGAAAAAAAAAGAAAATATGAAAACTTACATTTGCTAATCACGAATCATGTAAAACACTATGATGAAATCGATGATAAAATTAAATATCTACATATATTAGCTAATATTCAGCACGTTTATATATTCATAACTTTTTTAAATATATATTTGTGATTTATATGTAATAAGGCACTTTACGTAATTTAAATAAAATAATTATTTATGTTTGCTTATTCTTCTAAATGTTTATATTGTAAAATGTGTAACTTATATTTACTATTATTTTATTTTTTTAACAATTAAAATTGTAAAAAATTTTTCACTGTATATTCTGTTTCATTTTTTCCCTTCTTTCTCCCCTTTTCCCAATTCAAAACGGCCCATTTTTTAATCTTATATAGCAACTGAATCTACACATAAGTTATACAGTTTATGGTATATATAACATATGTACATATATATATATAATACATAAACATTTATGGTATATATATATATATATATATATATATATATACCATAAATGTTTTAGTAATTAAAATTTTTTCTATGAACAATTCACGTAGGTGTATGATATTCAAATCGATTAATTATTGATTGATTAATCCAAGGATATTTCTACGTATTTCATTTATCAGTGGGCTTATTTCCGTATGAGCACATATCTCTGTGAGCGTTTTTCCTAGTGAGCATATTTCGAAGTGAGCATTTTTCCATGTGAGCTTTTTTCTGTGTGGGCTTTTTTCCTGTGAGCATTTATACCTGTGAGCATTATTCTGTGAGCAATTTTTCTGTGGGCTTTATTCCTGTGGGTATTTTTCCGGTTACCAGTTAATATATGTCAGGTATTTGATTACTTTATTTTAGTTCTGTAATATAAGCAGGCCTAGATTGAGGGAAAATATAACTGCTTGGGTGTAGTGCAATTTTTCTAACAATCAAATTTTTGTTTCAAGATATGACATTTATAGGTAAGAATGACAATGGTATCCCCTTTCGCTAACTAAAAGTAATTCCCAGTTTTCGGGTTTTGCTTAGGAATGAAAGATGATGCAAAGAAAAGCAGCGTTTAATTTTCTGTTTCGTACATTATTGAATAATGTGACTTTTTGAAGTGGGCGTATTTTGAAAGGGCGTAAAATATTAAAATTGTTCTCTCAGATATCTACAGAGAACTATGCGACAGAGATAAGCCTCATTCTTAGCAATCAAACATACGTACTATCAGATTTTAATCCCTCCGTTTAAAAAATCAGATAATAGCGCTCAACGTGTCCTAGTAAGGGTATTCACACTTTGGGTAATCATAATGCTTATGTAATCGTATTGTATTTTAATGTATGGTTAATTTTTTTAATTGAAAAAAATTAACGGGAATGAATAATGTTAAATCAATGCACGCTTTCCTATGTGACTTCATTCCCCGAAAATTATTTTTTGGAAAATGAGAAATCTTCGCGCATGTTGCCAAGTACTAATTGAAAAATTCTCTTCTGTCTGGATTATCTATCGAAGTATTGAAGCAAAGAAATTATATACGTGATGTTACGTAGCCTTATGAATGGAAATCATGTATTTGCTCTGAGCTGATAACTTTTTGAACTATGTGCACTATGCCAGTTTCTCTCTTACCTTCTCATCTTTACTTTCAAGATTTCTTAGCTTAACATATCATTATCTACACCATTCCTACTTTGTTAATTTGTTCTTCGGTTTCTGAATTCTGGAATAAATTAACTCTGTATATTTATTACATTTAACACCTTTGGTTTCTATTCCTAAATATTCCTAAATAATTTGATATGAAATTAAAGGATATTTCTACAGATTAAAGACCTCGAAAATTATCTAGTGAAAATTTACGGTAATTTTTTTTCTTCGCTATACATCTTCCAGGATTCTAAAAGTTTTGCTAGAAGTGCATTAATATTCTAAACCTGGTTCGCGTGTGTTCTATTAATTCTATAAAATCTTATTCAGTGACTGGATAAGATGTGTCTGCATTACGGCGTTACGTAAGATCTTGTGATGGTAACTGATTTTAAAATGGCGCAGGTCCATTGATCTATTATGAATAGTTATTATTTTTAGGATATAAAGTCTAAGTACCCAAATTAAAATGAAGAATAAAGGGGTTATTGACAATCAAAATTACAAGTTTGTTTTATATATTTTTATCTTACATATATGTTAACCATTTGCATTCGAGGCCTTTTCCGCTTGGGTGAACCAGCAACTCGAAACAATTTCGGCTGTATTACTGAAGCATTTTACAGGTACTTTAAAATCATTCTAATACTCAAACAAACGTATACGAATAATAAAATTTCCCCAAATTATTCATTTTTATATCGAATACAATAAAACCTGTTAAATATTATGCTAAGCACACTAAGCTAAGATCTGAAGAACGCAAGCCAATTTTGCTCCACGAAAGTACTTAATATAAGATCATCTAATCGCACATCGTAAATAAACAATTGGAGTTCGAAAACGCCCTATCACTGATACAACACACATTTAACGGACGCAGCAATCCGGCGCCGTAGCGGCCCCCCGCGAATGGATGCTTCAAATCGGCCGGGTACAAAGAGTCATATAATGCGTTAATGCATTTCACTTTGATCTTTCGACGATATTTTCATACTTCTCTATAACATAACATTTCTTTCATAACAACGAACGGGTTTGGCAATAAAACAGATATATATATATATATATATATATATATATATATGTATAATTTTGTAATTATGAGTTTTAATTCAACAAAAACTAAGAATATTAATTCAATACAATCATTTTATCGTAGAAGCCAAAAAGGATGGTACAACTAATGCGGCTATTGTTGGAGGCGTGCTTGGAGCCATCCTTGCTGTTATTCTTATTGGTGGATACCTTTTCATCCGAAAGTGAGTACTCGTTTCTTGTGCTTAATATTGCTGCAATTTTAAATGTATATTGCATATTTGAAAAGTAAAATTTTATTCGTTATGGATTTATAATCTGTCAGCATAGTCATTGATACTAAAAGTCCGATTGCAAGCAAAAACATCGCGGAGAAAACAACGCAAAGCGAAAACATCATCTTGTAAAACATCCAGGGATAAAAGAAAACAAGGAGAAAACTCGCAGTTCTGAAATATTTTGGTATAATACATAGTCCTCAAAAATAAAGCTTTTCAATAATTTCGCGGTTTTATAACATAGTGGTAAAAAATAAAATTCCTGCAAATCATCCCATGACCATAACATCGCAGATACTTGTTTTTCATTCTTTAAAACTTGTACAGTGGTGAAAGAAATTATGTGAAATTTCATAATTGATCTAAGATCTCCCGAACTACTGCACAGATTTTAATAAAATGTGGTGTGAACATAGGTTGATATAATACAAACAAACTAAACATTCATCAGTTATAATAGACACACATGTTCGTGTGTAACATTCATGGGAGTCTGAAGGTCTGAACCAGCGGTTGCAGAAGAAAGACACAAAAGAAATGGGTAGAGAACAAAGAGGGGGTATGGTCCCCTCTTACAGCCATACAGGCCTCGCAGCGTGATGTCATACGGAAAATAAGGCAGTTTATCAGTGCCTGTGGCAATTGGTCCCCCTCAATCCGCAGCGCTGTTTCCAGTTCCTGAATGGTTCTAGGACGGGAGTTGCAACTGCTCTATAGGGTTGAGGTCCGGAGACTTGGCTGGCCAATCTATGCGGAAAATATCTTCACTCTCGAGAAATTGCAGAAGAGCTCTATATGGTCTCGCGTTATCGTCCTGAAAGATGAAGTCGGGGCCCACTGCAACCCGGAGAAGACGAACATAGGGTTCCAAGACCTCATCCCTATACCTCACACCAGTCACAGAGCCTCTGTCAAAGACGTGGAGAGTTGTGAGGCCATCCAACATGATGCATGCCCAGACCATTACACCACCACCGTCATAGTTGTTGATTTCGCGGACACTGGAGGGTAGGTAGCGGATTCTTGGCTCTCACCATATGAAAGTACGGCAAGAATCGGTGTTTAGGCTAAAACGATACTCTTCGGTGAACAGAACGGTCGCCCATTGCTCCGTACTCCAATCGCTATGCTACCTGCACCATGCTAATCGGACTCTTCTATTCGTAGACGTGAACGGGACGCAAACAGCCGGTCTGCTGGCAAACAAACCTCTCCCATTCAGTCTTTTGGAAACAGTCACCCTTCTTACACGGGTTCCTGTGGCTTCATATAGGTACCTAGAGAGCTGAGAAGCTGTAGCCCCTCTGTTACGCCTCACTAAAATGGACAAATAGCGATTTTCTCTGGTCGCCGTGTCTCTTGGACGACCTTGCCCAGGCTTTCTCTCGATGGATCCAGTATCCTGGAACTGTTTCCATAGATTACACACTACCCTGGGCGTTAAATTAAACTTCTCTGCATATCTGGACTTGACATTGTCCTGCCTTAAAACTCCCCACAATTCACCGCCTCATTCCATTATCTAAACGTTGGTAGTTACTCATTTTTACTGTTTCGATGTGAATTTAACCGACTGCTGTAAGATAACACCAAGAAATTCACCGAGGTGCTCTAGCGAACGCCTTTCGTCTTGCGCTTCACGCACTTAATAAAGCCTGTTTTTCTGCTGGCTCTGCGTACACACACGTGTATGCTTATGCATTTGCCATACAAGATTTGCATTTTTATCTACAAGCAGTGGTTTTTCCTTCAGTTCAGTTCTTTTCATGCAATTCGATAAAGCAAGGAAATTCTCTTAATTTATTTCACCAGTGTATATTCGTATAATAATTTACGAGAAATGAGGAGAATAGAAGGAAGGAGCAGAATAGAAAGAATTGAAATTATTTTTATCGCTTACTTATATTTTCTTATTAGCCCAAAGGGACAAGAAAATACAAATAAAGTACGCAAGTAAATATAAATAAAGTATGAATAAAATACGTATACATACTCTTACGAGTCTTGTATTTTGAAAGTTAATTTTAGCAGAATTTTAATTACAATTATTGCACTTACCCCGCATAAATTTTAAGAGAAAGCTATGCCGGGAAACTAAAAATACCGGGCCATGTGCATTTAAAATTGAGTAAATTGGTATCTCGCTAGTTTGTATTTAAATTGAGTAAATGCCATTGACCACTACGCTAGCTGTAACCATAAGTCCATCTTGTTATTGCTTTCCAGAAATCTCGTGTAATACTTGAAATTTCTCGCGTATAAATCTGATTTGCTTAGCTAATATGCAAGTTGTTTAGTTACGGCTGAACTGAGATATCTGAATTAGCTTTCTTTTTAAATATGTTTTGCATTGCTTTGTATTTTAACGCTTTTGGTAGTTTGAAGTTTAACTACTGATTATACTGCGTGATACTGTGAACACTTGTACGAATATCTCTATGGAAAATTCAAGCGTTCTGATATATTTCTTCTGATAAGAATAAATTTTATTAACTTATAATTGGACTTGTGCATTCAATCTATTAAGAACCAGCACGCACGCAACAATATAAATAAAATGCATACATAAATAAGTAAAATATGCTAAGCAGTAGTACTCGGGAGACCAAACATACTCCGAGCAGATGAAATCGTACTATGTGACACATGCACGTTTTGCACAGAGAATTGCCTTACTTAATGGACCAGACAGATGTCCTATCCCAAAGGTGATACTGAATCTAGAATATTAGAGATTTTTGAAATTACTGTCTGATTTGTAATGTGGATACTTTTGTATGGTACAGTGTTGTTTGGACAGTTTGAAGGTGGTTGTAGTAAGATATAAAAGAGACAGAAACTCTCACTTAGATAATGGTAAAATTTAATTTAAGTAATTTATTATGTGACACATGCAAGTTTTGCACAGACAATTGCCTTACTTAATGGACCAGACAGATGTCCTGTCCTAAGGGTGATACTGAATCCAGAATATTAGAGATTTTTGAAATTACTGTCTGATTTGTAATCTGGATACTTTTGTATGGTACCGTGTTGTTTGGACAGTTTGAAGGTGGTTGTAATAAGATATAAAAGAGACTGAAACTCTCATTTAGGTAATGGTAAAATTTAATTTAAGTAATTTATTATTTTCGGATTAAAAATTCAAACACGAGCTGACTATGGCTGAAAATGCTGCGTGTATACACCTCCATATTTTAGAAGACTGCTTCCTAAACGCCCATTTAAATATCAAGTACACGCATAAACCTAAACTGTGTTTCACAAAAAGTCCTTGCGCATAAGGGAAATGGCGATTAAATGTTTGAAACTGGTAAACGATATATAATATATATGTAATACTACATGATATTATGTATCATTGAATTACATTATATAATGCTGAATAATGAAGTATTTATAGTATAAACAGTGTCGTGAGCAAGGCTTTCAACTATTTTCTTATCGCTGCATATTATTATTTCTTTACAAACCTGACTGCAATACGCTCCGATATAAAATATAAAGTCAATTACGACAAAATAAATCTACCATTCTGAAATGTTGAATATTTAGTACAGTTCCATTTACAAATTACGCACATCTACAATAACATAATATCTCTACTTATCTCATGTCGAGAAAATGCCTGGACCGCTTTTCCTAAACTTGAAAACATTTGGAACTCGAACATCACAAATGTAAACACATGGGACCTTATTTTCTAGATGCAGCAAATTGAAAACGATTCCCTAATATATGTAAATGATATCATTTCGTAAGTCACCACACAAAAATCCGAATTTCCCTTTATAACGCAATGTTAAAAAGTAACTTTAAAACGAGATACATTCACACACATGAAAGCTTTTTAAATGCTCGTGGAAAAATTATGTAATCGTGGTTACCACTGCCGTTGTTATCAGGCTCGCTCTCGCATTTTACGAGTGACAGGCATAGCAACTGGTTATGAAGTTAGTGATGAAGATTTAAAACTGTTCGAATTTCTATTTGAAATTGTGTAAAAATAATTTTTCAGCGTATTTATTTATTGAAGGAATGAAACCTAAAAATCTTAATTAATATATGCCAAAATCTAATTTATATTTTAGATTAAAAAAGTCAAAAGGAGACGAGCACGAATACATGCAGCCTCGAAAAAGGGGTGCTCTTTCAGAAATGGTATGTATTAATTACATTGAGATTTTTTTGTTGATTTATTTATTTACATATTTTATGAATGAAATTTAATTTTAGCTAGCGTTTCATAGGTTCACACTTACGCTCTGTTCTAACCACTATGAGCTTAACTCATAGTGGTTAGTTAAGAAAGTGAATGGAATGTGATTCAACTACATAAATTATGAACTGATAATAAACTGAAATGATATTTCTACGTGCTTTTGTGTACATAAAAAACATTAAACCAACAGTGAAACAAATCACATAAATATTCCAAACAAATAATTTATTGTTTCTGTTTATATATTCTGTGGACAAGGCAAATTAAGTTCAATACAATTTCAGCACCCAGTTATAAGGGCGTAGTCATTTATTTATACGTAGTTGCGCAAAGAAGGCTCAAAATGCTGCCTTCTTTTAGCATTCTTGGAAGGATTTAGTTTGGTTTACTCGATTGTGGCAAAGCACACTAGAGCTATTTGCTTAAGGCAAGAGTTTACATTCATGGAGGACGTTCTGAAGAAAACTATTTCGTATACACTACAGTGTGAGGGAAGGCGGTTGCTGAAGCTTTAAAACTCAGTTTTCGAATCCTGGAGAAGGCATGAATGTTTGTAATTATATAATGTCTTTCCGGCATGATTCATTAAAAATAATGTCGAGCAATATGTCCACTCAGGAATTTGATGGAGAGGGACATTTGAATCCATCTATCGACGTGTTCTCCAGGAGAACTCAGAAGAAAATGGATATGTTCATATGGTCTCAGAAATGGGTGTGAAGTCCATTGTCAATGACAGGTACCAGAATGAATTAGTAGAATTTGTGTTCAGATCAGAAGAATTTGTAACGGCAGAAGAATTGAAAAGTGCACTAATAGTGTATTCTGCGCTGAAAAGACATACCAGGTATTTAAATAAATAACACACCTGCAGGACTGATATTGATACTAATACTGATAAAACAATATGACAAAAGAAAATGGTTTAAAAAGGTAATGATTTAAAAAGGAAAATGGTTTAAACATAATAAACTAAAATTAGCTGATGGCACGACCCAGGTTTTAAAACGAAAGAAGTAGTTAACAGCATTGAAATGCATTTTCTTATTTACTAATTTGAAAGGCAAAGGAGGGAATTTTTTGACTGAATTTTAAATCTTGTTAATTGTTTTATCCTTCATAAATTAGGTGTATAATTATTCAATGTATAAAGCGTGGTTTAAGAATTTCAGTTGCTCTTGATTTCGAAATTTGATTTCCGAAAAGACTAAAGCGTCCTGATAGTCAATTGAAGCCCTTAAAGAAGGGAAATACGCGATTAAAACTTAAATTACGTTATCCAGGCGCGGATACTTTATTAATAACACTAAAGTATGATAAAGATATTTAAATAGCAATTAAGGAAGTTGAAATGCGTTTACAACACACTTTTTTCTATAGATATGTAAACTTCTTATTTTTGCAAGTAATATTATTATTTGATTTTCATGGATAGGTATCAATATTCTTTCAATGATAACAGTCTCTTTTTCTGTTTCTTTCTAGATAATGTTATGAGCATTCATTTATCTAAAAATGAATGTCTGTTTGTTTGTCTTTTATACAAATCTGCTGTTTAATTTCAAACTTTTTTAAACTTGCCACAGCCGACCTTCAAAATAACAGGAAGGAAACTGTCTACATAAGATTTCCCAAACACCAGCCCATGGGGTCCGCACTCTATATACATATATTTTATGCTAATTTAATCAACGTTTGAATGAAAAACTTAGGGATTTAAAAGCTTTGCGTTGCCACTCTACAATGCGTAAGATATATATGCTTGAAATTTAATCCGGAAACTCGGCGATATAGAAATGCTGTGTTTCCACTTGGGAAAGCGCATTTATATTAATTTATCTCGAATTTAATAAACAAACCCGCTATTTAAGGAAAATGTGTTGCTATTGCGCAAATTAAATTATTTTAAAATGTGCTATCGCTCAGCAAAGCGTAAAATATTGCGTTTTTCACGTATTAGCATGCCTGTTATTGCATCACACGTATTTTCTTTGCTTTTTTATAGAGGATTTGTTATAGTCATCACAAAACATTACTTTCGGTGCGAAATCAATTAGTCCACTAAAATGACAAGCGTTCTACATCTCAATGTTCGAATACGCCCTACTCAAGCCAATTCATAGGAGAAAGTGCACAACTGTGAAATATTCCAGTAAGCACTGCTCCAGCCCATTCATCTGAAACACATGAGCAACAGAAAGCAAGACTAAAAAACGTTCGAGTACGCACTGTTCAAACTCGTCCATCTGAAACAGACGAGCAACGGTAAGCTAGAGTGGAAAAAATTCGTGTAAGCAAGCTTACGTCGTTTCGTTTGAAACTGAAGAGCAATGGGGAGCAAGACTGGAAAACGTTCGAGTACTCTCTGCTAAGCCCGTTCATCTGAAACAGACGCGGAACGAAAAGCAAGACTGGAATACACACTGCTGGATCCAAACGAACGCTGCATGCTGACTTAAATCTTGGAGCATTTCATTAGGATGCTAATTATGCTTACAGTATTCTTCCAAGTATAGTCCTTGGAAAGGTGGATAAATTATGCATGTACTGCAGAGCTCTCAAATTTAAACATGAAGCATAACGAATGTGTGCGGTGGAAACGTGAAAATGCTCGCACCAGATAGGAGACAAAAAAGTTCTTTATTCCAAAGCACTTCAATAAACAGAACTGAAACACAAACATATTATTTCCTATAAGTAGGAAACAGAACTAAAACACAAACACATTTTTCTTTTGTCATTAGAATTTAAACGTTTCCAGGAAACTCGTTTTTGAAATGATCAGCAACAAAACACAGGGCATAGCGCTACGAGTTTGTGAAATACATTTGGAAAATCCATGCTTTTCAAATAGACAGCTATATGTGGCCTACTTACGCGTCGGAAAACTTTTCGATTTATTCGTATACGCATCAGATGAGAACGCAAAATATATTGCGTATCCAAAAGCATTTCAATAAACATAACTGAACCAAAATACTCTCTTTCCTTTAAGTGGAACTGCTAGGCATGCCGGATAATAGCTAGTATAATATAAAATTTAAAGCATTTGTAAAAGACTTGCGTAGTTCTCATCTTGGTGTATTTAATTATGGCAAAGCACGCGAGGGCTATCTGCCTAAGGGGAGGGATGCCTTCGTGGAGGACTTTCTAAGGGAAACTGGCTCGTATGCACGTTACACATGGGTGAAAACCCCGAAAACGCCCGTGCAGCCAGCCGTTCGCGGGATTCGAACCTCGGACCGAACTGCCACTGTTCAGTGACTTTACCGCTCTGCCGCTGGTGGGCCCTGCTTAGTTCTCAAGTTGCGCTATTTATATTATATATTGATATATACGTATTCCTTACTCTTTATGTATCCTTAACAAACTCTGCTTTCTCTTTGTTTCGACTTAAAATTTAGGTAATTTGTGTCTCTTTTCTATTCTTACTTTATAAAATTTTCTTCACTTTTTCACCTCTTATAGTGTTCAGGCTCATTTTGTGCAAAGGTGAGAAGTGAGGCATCGATTCGATCATTATTTTTGGCAAAGCTGGTACATATTACCTGATTGCCTTTGTGCAGATATATAAGGGAAATGAATTCTCATGTATATTACAAATGTCAAACGGTACGAAACCTTAATGCCATCAATATGGTTTGGAGACGAGAATGGGACTCGAGGCTACGCGTCTGAAAGCCGAGAAGTTACAGACTCCCCTTCTTTCTCGTACGACAGCTCGACGAAGAGCTAGGAATATGTTTCAAATTCTTCTGTACGAGGAGCAAACCGAAATCCTTTTTGACGAGTCTGAAGGCTTCTTTTATGGATTAATTATGTAGACTTATTAAAAAACGTGCATTTGATCACCATCACAATACCTTTCATATAATTTCTCTTTGTCCCTCTTAAACACTTGAAATGATTCGTGTAGTAGTAAAAGGAATCATTCTACAATATTTATTTTGCCTACTTAATCAACAATATATTGAACAATTTGTTCTGTGGACAGAACTTCGTGATTAAATTCTTAAGTCTGTAATTTTTTGTCCATGCGGATTCCGGTTCTAAAGACGTCAAAAGACTAAAGACGTTCATCTTCATCACTTGATTCATTACCAGAATTAGAATTTTACAGTTCATTGTCACCTGTTTCCAGTTTGTGGAAGAAGAAAAATGTGTCAATTTACACACAGAAGGCAAACTTTTGTAAACTAATTAAAGAAAACGCCAATGGAATTAAAAGCATGAATGGCAGTTATTGAACTTTCGACTATGTTACAAATACCATTCGTAACACTGTATCGGAATGATTCACTTAAGTGCACAGAATCAGGATGATTCTCTCAAACTTCACTGAATCGGCATGTCACTGAATTTGTCTGAAACCGTCTCGGAGCAGGATGATCAGGACTCATCCGGATGATTCATTCCAAACTGCATACAATCAGGGTGTTTCAATTCATTCCAAACTGTATCAATCAATCCCACTCAGACCTCACTAAATCAGGATGATTCATTCAAAGCTCTATAATCGCCCAGAATCAAGGTGATTCTCTTCAAACTTCATTGAATCGGGATGATTCATACAACAGCACAGAATCTGGGTGGTTCTCTTCAAATTTCAATGAATAGAGGTGATTAATTTAAATGTTTAGAGTCAAGGTGACTTTTAAAATGTTCATTATACGGGTTGGTTCTCCCTCTGGTTCGAAGAAACTTTTGAATTATTAAACGTGTATGTCCTTCAATCGGCTAAATCATTCGGGTCCCACGTTGGCCTCCAATTTATAACCAGGAGAGCATAAATTTAAGCGTTGTTACCTTCTATTGTTTTATGTCAGTTACCGATTTTCCTAAAAATATTTTTAAAAAATTTATCGCTCTGTCGCAATTTACCATTTAAAAAAATCTATCTTGCCGTGACTTAGCGCTTGAAAGCAGTGAGATTACAGAGCTATGTTATACATTTAATTTCACTAACTATCGTATAGCCACAAATTTTATTTCCTCCATTCTAAAACGTTAACTACATGCTGATAAGTAACACCATGTGATTTAATCATTTCATATTCTTAATAATTTAGTTAGAAATATCGCTAAAATTCTTAAATAAGGTCTATAATTATGGTATCCAGAATATTGAATATTGTCCGTTACACAAAATAAAGCGTTATCTGAATACAGTTTTAATGTTTTTATGTATTTATTTGGAAATTTTTCTGCGCAATGTTTTACTTGAACTTATTTTGAAGCAATAAACAATTACATAACTAGCTAAAATGTAAAAAAAATATATATGTGAGTTATATTTTCAATAAATTTTCTTCTAATAGCGATTGGGCAAACGTCAGACAGAAAGAGATGACGACATAGAACTTCGACAGAGTGGTAGACGACCCGTTAGACCCTTGCCAGAGAGACAAGACAGACGAGACAGCGGTGAGTTTCGGAGAGGTTTTGGTGGCAGTACCAGCATGATGTCAAGAGATCAGAATTCACGTGATGAATACGAAGAAGAAGAACGTGTACGTCGACCTTTGCCTGAAAGAAGGGATAATACTGACTTGGGCAAAAACAGAATGATCCCAAGACCACGAGTAACTCGTTCAGAAGATCAGTATGACGAAATTCATCAGACGAGGGAGGAACGACCTCGTCGTCATTTCACCAAATCTTCCGAATCATTACCTCAGGATGACAAAAAAGTCACATCCCTCCATTATAAAAATAAGGCGTATGAGGACGATTAGTTTTCCTGAAACGTTTGATAATTTTTGATTTATCATAAACTTTCGAAATAAAGTGCTCACTGTGAAATTTAAGCCGAAGATGAATATCAGGGAAAAGTCATTCTTTTCTTAAAGACATTATTGCGAATTCAGATTATTTTTCTTGTGGACTAAACGAACTAAAAAGGTTGAGGTGGTAATGCAGTTAAAAAAAAAGGAATTTTCAGAAATCTGTATGTAATATTAGGCTTATTTTGAGTAAATAATCACATATTCATTTCCTCGAAGGTTCATGTGGACTTATACCATTCCATTGGTTTAATGTATTTATAGCAAGTTATTTAAATTTTGAGATAATAAAGGAATTATAATTGTTTACTCAGTTGCATTTATTGGATCTAGAGTTTACTGATTCTTGCTTTATATATAATTACGTTTATTATTTTTTCAGCTCACTGCAGTACTTTCTATCCAAGTAAAAACCTCGTTTATTTAAAATGTTAAGATGTCAAAATTAAATCAAATTTCAGAAACATAATGGATGGTTTTGTAAAAACACTCCTATATGTGTAAATCGTTTATATAGAGCATGATGAAGAGGATCAAGGTAAGATTTGAAAGTATAAAGTCTAAATTTTATGACACCTCTGGAATAAAGATATTATAATTTACCATCGATTACGTTTTTTTAACTCAAGAACTGAGTTACTTGCTTGGTTGCTTTTGCCTATGCGCTAAAAGATACATAATAATTTTTATGAAAATCATTTCATTAAAATATTTCAAACATTACACTTAATATCCTGCTGAAAATAAATTAACTACTTAAACACACCTGGTATGTTTAGGTCAATGAAATGTCGCCATTTGGAAAACAAGATTACTGTTATAAAAAGTATCTGATGTGGACACCACATGACTCCTTTGTACAGCCTATCAAGTTATACGCATTTTTTGCTGCACTGCATTTAACCTCATTTTCTTGAATTTTATTAGAGATATATTTCTTATTCAATCAATTCAGTTATCATTTGCGATAAATCAAAAATACGTAAACCTCAAAACATATCCAGTAGAAACTGTAAAATACAAAAAAACCCAAAACACCAGCTACAGCACTGCATTTAACCTCATTTTCTCGAATTTCATTAGAGATATATTTCTTATTCAATCAATTCAGTTATCATTTGCGATAAATCAAAAATACGTAAACCTCAAAACATATCCAGTAGAAACTGTAAAATACAAAAAAACCCAAAACACCAGATACAGCAATGCATTTAACCTCATTTTCTCGAATTTCATTAGAGATATATTTCTTATTCAATCAATTCAGTTATCATTTGCGATAAATCAAAAATACGTAAACCTTAAAACATATCCAGTAGAAACTGTAAAATACAAAAAAACCCAAAACACCAGATACAGTTAAAAACAATTATAATAAAAATTAGAGATTCTACGCAAAAAAAACAAGCAATTTAGCCAGCGGACAGGAAAACAAAAGATTTGGTGCACGAAAATTGAAAGTTAACTTTTGTCCACTCTGTGCAAAAGGTCAAAATTTAGGGCACCAACTGATTAAATTTACTGCTCTACAAATAAATTTAAATTTAAACACATGGCGGCCTCGTTATGCCTAGCGCCACTTTAACTTTTAAATTGTTGATAATTCTACACATTTTGCGTGTAGCCAAAAAATTTGCGTATAGCTAAAGCCATTTTGCGTATAGCTAAAGCCATAAAATCGTTCACTGGAACATAAGAACAAACTAATTCAATCGCCTTTAAAGGAAAAAAATTCACAATTTTCCAACATATAAGAATAAAAAACTAAGCTCACCGCGCCAGGTAGGAGAGTGGAAATACCAACCAACCACCAAACGTATATATACGTATACATAATCGGCCTCACCAAACGTATATATACGTTTGGTGTGGCCGATTGCAAGGAAAACGGGAGCTGAATAAATAGATGTTTTAGAAATTACATATACAAAATATCAAAGTTCTACGGCTACTTGCTCTTGAGTTATGTGAAATACATATATACGTATGTGTATATATCACTAAATAATCTTTTCGAAATTAATTTTTAATCCATTTTCCGCCGGTTTTGGAAACAGAAGTCGTTTATTCTGTCCATATGTACATATGTCACGAAGAAATGGAATTGAGAGCGGCCAAAATGGATATTTTCGTGAAATCCGATACCCGAAATTTTTCGCGATTACACTACTTTCTTCACTTCGTAGGAGAAAGTAATGCGTAATTACCGTATGTTCACGAATACCACGGGCAGTTTTTTTTTTAGTTAATTATAATCGAAAAATATCGAGGCGCGCTGCTTGTACGAAACAAAGCAATATAGGCCAGGCAAACGCAAGCTGGTCGGCATGATTTCTTTTTGAAGCTAAGGTATCCCCAAAAAACATGACGTCCATATGATGCTACTATACCCTCTCAAATAATAAATCCTGGTCAGGGATTTGTAGAGGATATGTCACCACTAGCTTCCACTAGATGTATGCATTAATCGCCTATTTAAAGAAGCACTGAAAAGAACGTACACGGAATGGATGTCCGCTGGAAATTGCGCACTTATACCACCTGATCGCATCAAGAAGCCCGAAATAACTCGAATCAGTGGGTGGATCGAAGCCGCCTGGGAATAGAATTTCACAAGAACTTGTTGTTAAGAGCTTCAAAAAGTGCGAAATATTAAATAGCATGGATGGAAGTGAGGATTGTGAAGTGTGGGATTATGAGAAAGAAAGGTTGGCAGCTTGGAATGTACGAGGGTAAGTTGAAAAATAAGTTTTCCCTGTCGACTGTGGTCAGAGTTGTGTATGAAAGTCAAAACATAGAATGAGACATTAAAGATACGACATACCTTTATTTTTCCACATAGGTACCAAGTACATTGAGACATTTGTCATATCGCTTGATAAGCTTCAAAAAGCCCTACAGGAAAAAATCAGAGCTTTGCATATGGAAGAAGCGTTGAACGGCTTGTTTCACTTCAGTATTGCTTCCAAAGCGCTTTCCCCCGAGATTTCTCTTCAAAGCCGGAAACAGATGGAAGTCGCTTGGTGCGAGATCAGGAATGTATGGCGGATGGTGTAGGCGCTCCCAACCAAGAGTTGCAATATGGTTTTGCGTTGCCGTCGCCGAATGTGGTCTGGCATTGTCATCCAACAGCAGAACGCCAGATGTGAGAAGGCCAGGCCGCTTTTTCCGAATCGCCTCTTTCAATTTCGACAGGGTGTCACAGTAGCGCGTAGCACTGATGGTTCCAACCTCCAAAAAGTCCAGCAACAAAACTCCTTGGGCGTCCCAGAAAACTGTGAGGAGCACTTTACCTTGGAGGGAGTTGTCTTGAACTTCTTTCGGACAGGTGATGACGGATGTTTCCACTCCATAGATGCGGCCTTCGATTCTGGCGTGAAATGGTGGACCCACGTTTCATCCCCCGTCAAAATCCGAAACAGAAAGTCATTGCCATCTTCATGGTAACGCACGAGATGTTCCAGGCTGACCCCCATGCGTTTGTTCCTTGTGTGTCGAGGTCAATTGTCGGGACACCCATCGTGCTGACACATTTCTGTATCGAAGAATGGCGTGGATAATGTTTTGAGCTGAAGTGAAACAAGCCGTTCAACGCTTCTTCCATATGCAAAGCCCTGATTTTTTCCTGGAGGGCTTTTTGAAGCTTATCAAGCGATATGACAAATGTCTCAACGTACTCGTACGAGAATAATAAAATAAAGGTATGTCATATCTTTAATGTCTCATTCTATTTTTTGACTTTCATACACAACTCTGACCACAGTCGACAGGGGAAACTTATTTTTCAACTTACCTACGTATTAGTGATGACAGCAAAGCCCAGAAAGCGAGGAAGATTGACAATCTACTTTGTGTTTCCAGACTGAAAAAGTGGGAAGTGCCATGGTGTGGTAAGCTATCTACCTTTGATAGATTACCGGAAGATTTTAAAGGATAATTCGGGTCTTTTAAATTCATAATTTAGTGCAACGATTGTTATCGACTAAGGCTGTAGTTTAACAAATAAAATTTTACATAACAAGCTTGGCTTAGAAGTTTTTACTTCCTTGTACGAAGTAAAAGAAGTACTGTAATCCTGAAAAATTCCGTGTACCATATTTCAACGAAAATATCTATTTTGACAGTTATCGAATGCAATCTAATGATGTTTTTGATTGGCATCTGTACGTAAGGAGAGATTGAAAGACTCTATTTTCTCAAACGAATTATAAAACTGATTTAAAACGAATACAGAAGAGATTTTTTTCATGATGTCTCTTCGTACGTACGTATGTATGCATGGATCTCGCATTAGCAAACGTTTGAACTTTAACGGTCCGGAATCCGTTAATGTGCACCTTACCTAGATCAAAATGCGAAAAACCGCACCTGCAGGTAACAAATCAGTTAATCTGCTTATTAGCTAGTATTATGTGCACATTAACGGCTTTTGAGCTTTAGCGGTAAGCGCTATACTGATTCAATTCAGAAGAACGTTTACAAATATTCAGAAGCTTTGAGTTTGAAAGCAATGTTTTGGATATTGAGTATAGGAATAATGGTGTCCTGCATAAATGGTCCTGCATAGCTGTAATTCAATTTTTATGGCTTGGTCATTGTGATACCCATTGTTTCATGCATGTTTTATTAACACAAACGTAACGCTGGGTAGCACTTTATTTGCGTTACCTGAAACGGACAAAGGATATATAGTATATATATCGACCAGAAAGATCTTCCCTGCTTTTCTAGCCGCGTCTTTCCTTTCTCCATCATGAATGAGTGAGTGAGTGAGTGAGTGATTATGGCGCAAAACCAGAGATGATTATGACGCGCCAAACACAAGATGGGGTGATTACAATTGATGACATTTAAATTCAATAAATAAAAACAAGTGGACAAATGCACCAAATCCAGAGGATGAAGTCATATAAACACAAGTTAAAAGCACATATTAAAATTCAAGACACAGTCTTTCAAAACAAATTACATTTGGTAATAAAAGCCAGTCTCTTTTAAATAATAAAATAAATTACAATTGACCTCTCTTCCGATTAAACGGTCGAGAGGTAAGTCACAGCTATTAAAATATTTCTGGCGAAGACTATTAAAACATGGACACTCAATTAAAATATGACGAACAGATAAACAAACATTACAATTAAAACAAACAGGCTCATTTTCAGCTTTTAGAAGATAGGTAGCTATGTGTGACTCTAGTGTGACCAATTCTGAGGCGAGTCAAAAGAACTTCCTCCTTACGATTTTTGGTTAATTCCCAATGCTCAATTCTAGGTTTTACTTGTCTTAACTTGTTTGAAGCTGAACAT